TTCGTAATTAATTTGAATTAATTATGTGCCACTTTCCACATGCAGCTGTATGTCGGTGGAAAACATGCCGATGCTTCCAGCAAACATCACGCATGGCAGTGGGCGGTGGCGGTGGCGGTGGTTCTGTGGCAATGGGCGTGCCCAGCGGCATATTTTTGGAGCCGGCTCCAGCCGCAAATCTGCCACAGGAGGCGGAAAGACGAGTCTGCCTGTTTTCGACTTCATTTATCTTTTTTAATGCCCTGCGATAGGATATTACGATTTTGCCAAAAGCCGAGAACGAAATCTGGGAAATATCCAGCAAGAGTATAAAAACTTCATCGTTACTCGAAACTATCCTTCTCTTTTGTTTGTTGTCCTTTCGAATTGGAAGGATGAGCAGCTTAAAGCATTAACGAAAAATCTCTACCGTTTTATAAACTTTCATCCAAGTAGACTTTCCTTTAAATAGCAAGATTTTGGCATTTATTTTCTGGCAAAATTGGAAGAATTAAAAGTATAGTTTTAGCAATTTACGACCAACTAACACTCTTGGTCTGTATTACATTCGATTTGACCAGCAAAATCAAGGCCGAATACTTCAAGGACCTTACGAATGAAAGTTATCCTGATAACAAAAGGCGGTAAGACCGTCAAAATGATTGTCCCTGATGAGCCTGAGGGCGTTTGCGTGGATCCAAATGCCGGCCGTGATCCAAATGATCCTTGTACCAGCAAAGGAGCCACTAGGAAAAGTACCTTGGCCACACGGAAGTCCACACTCAAAAAAACAGGAAAAGGATCAAAGCCTCCTGCGGGCAAATAGCTGCTCCTCCACTTTATCTGGAAATGGAATGTGTAGTCTAGTTTCAGATCAAGTGGTGGGGTAGTTTTTTTTTTGCAAACTACTGGTTGGTTATTTCAAAAACGATATGTGTCACTGAAATTCTCTGTCTATTCATCATATTAAAGCACAATACTTCCCCTTTTAATACTCAAAAATCCATCTTTACTTTAGAATCCTAACTAACTTAAGTCCCCCATGAATAATTACTGCAATTTATTAAGCATAAATTCTTTTAAATGCCATATCAAGTATTCTGATGGGTTAAAGCAAAGACACTTCATCCCAGTCCCAGTCCCAGCTCCATACCCAATACAAATCTCAATCGAGGCGATGCCTCACGTAGACCGTAATCTGCAGAGCATCAAGCCAAGGACTCTGCCACTTAAGACAAATGCAAACAGCAAGACACACATCCGAACAGACATAATCACTGGGGCCCACGTGCTAGGCAAATTAATTTGGATTCCGGGAGTGGAGTTTCCAGGAAAACAAGAAGGATGAGATGAGTGAAAACCTCAAAAAATATCTCTCATGATGCCGAGACTCTAGAATTCGACGGAGGACATTGTTTTTTGGGGTTGAGAGCGTTGACAGCAAAAATTTAACGCTTGAAATGCCAAACACACAAATATTTTGACATTCAAAGCACAGATACTAATACACATGCATATGTATGTAAAGAGGACCATCCTGGCGGCAGGAAGAGGCTCTGCCATATATGTGTGTTTCCTCTTTTCTGCTCTGTACTCTTGGCGTGGCAAATTTTCCATGAAAATTGCATGAATTGCAGATTTTTTGTTTTGGCCCCTTCGCTTTCCATACGCACGAAATGCGCTCCGCACCCGAGACTCAGACCCGACCCAGACCCGGACCCATAGTCTGGACCCAGCTCTGAAAGTCAAGTTGCGTGTGCCGTAGACGTTTTTATGGCATGCAGTGGAACTGATGGCAGATGGCAGCTGGCGCTTGCCACTTGCCGCAAAATAGGGAAAATGCTTTACAATATAATAGAATTTGCCAGAAACGTGACTTTAACAAGCTCTTAGACATGTAAATACATAAACACACACACCACACACCATAGAGAGAGAGTAGCCGGTGATGATGTCAAATGCCAAACACGACAGAATGACTTAATATACTGCAACGCTGATATGTGGACAATGTGACGTATGCGTGATGTGCCACAAAAGGGAGTTGGGGTGATGCAAAAAGGACCTAGAGAAAAATGCAGTTACTGTATTCGCGCTGCACAGCTCAATTAGTTTTCTGGCACGAGGGCACACAGGGCGTATGATTAATGCGGTTTCTATTCAAATGGCGTCGCCGCCCGAAAGTATGCAATAATAGAGTGCCAGACACTTGTGGCATTTCATGTGCAGCATCAAGATTACAAGCTCTCATGGAACTCCGACCAAAAGTGGGTTAGTTTAAAAGATACTTGGCTAACAAATTGGCCACATTCCCGGCGAGATTCCAGCTAAATTACATTTCGTTCCAATTACTTGGGAGTACAGGTAATCTGGCTAATGGCTAGCACACAGTTCATGCATCTCTATCAGGCAAAGTTTTGCTGGATTCCAGGATGTAAAAGTTGCAACAGCTTAGATTCAATTAAGGGCAAGTTTAGTCCAATAGTTGCTGGCATTTTAATTAAGTAAACAAACACAGGCACACACTTTGTCACACAGAGAAGGATAAGGATCAAATCAAGTTAGGCCCAAATCACACAGCCGTACACCAGCACGCAGCTCACACTTCGGTTTCCGGAATGACACCCCGAGGAGACATTCAGCTCTCAGAGACTGAGTCTTGAGGTTGAATTTAAATCATCAATTTTTCATCTCACCCGACCGCATAAATCAACAAAGTTGCCAAGCTGCCAACCTGCCACGTGCCATATGCCACTTACCGTTGACCCGCCGAAACGAAAACGTTAACCTGGCTCATTGTGCGACATTTGTTGTCTTTTCTTTTTAATGTCCAACAGTCGAATGCCATAAAATTTAATGCCAGGAACGGAGCTTGCTCCTTGGAGCTCAGCCAAGGACACATTGCGTGCTGCGAGGCATTATGGCCACGGCCTGGATTTGACTTTTAGCCAAAAGACTAGTAGTAGTAGCGCTTACCTCGCTTGTTTCGCTGTCATTGCTATTTGCTGTTTGCCGGGATGCGATTTATGCCCTGGTAGCACTTGATAAATGACTGGGAAAATTTGTAAGTGGCTTTTACTTTTTGTCAACTCGAATCCGAAATGTTCGTTGGCCATAAATTCACAGTTCGCTTCCCCCCGTGCCCCTGAGTCTGGGTCTGATTCTGCCTGCGGCTCATTAAAATACCAAATTAGTCCAGTCCGGTGAATTAGTAACATTCTAGATAATTCATCTAATTGCTGACGAGCAGACAACCAAAATTAACCAAAGTAACAGACTCCAAAGGCTAATTAAATAAGGAATTACGAGCAGAATACAAAACAGAGACACTTGCTATTTTTTTTGAAAAATAAAACACTTTCGCACTCCCGTTTTTCATCAGAAATTATTTCATTAAAATTACAATCAATTGTGTGGCATTCATTAGATTTTATTAATCGAATTAACTGCAATGCGAAACATGGTTGCTAAGACCTGTATCCAAACAATTACCAACTGGCCAATTAATAAGCCACAGAAACACATGCAGTGCCTATAAGCTGGCCGAGATCCCAGTGGGCTGACATATTCATCCATAAACAGGCAGATTAAGCCCGTCAACCATGTGCGTGCATTAAAAATTAATTACATTTTAAATGGCAAACAAGATTTAATTTTTGTCAGCGGTCTGTGGGTCTGCTCATCTCACTAGAAAAACGCACCACACCACCCATCGCCCCGAAGAGCACTTAATTGAAAAGTAAAAATAAATGTCATTACACACTGTAATTCATTTGTGGCGGAATGCGATTTAGGCCGCTTCGGCACTTGGCTGGCAACTCGTATCTCGTTCACATTTTAATTGAATTGTTTTGATCGATATGCCAACGCTCCAGCGTTGTTCACATGAAAATGCTGCTGCGGTCAATATTGCGTGTTAGTGCCGGTAGAAACCAAAAATTTGTTATCCACTAAACAACACTCCGTGTCTCTGGGTCTCTTTTATTTTCTGAACACTATAGTACAATGTTGAGCCGCAGTTGGTAAACGAACCGCAGCAGCCAAGTGTCGAAAATTTGCATCCAATTAAAATGTTTGCTTCCACGTACGCACCCACTAACTCACTCCCCACCTGGCCAACATATACTAAGAGCTTTTACTTTCATGGCCAAAACATCAACATCAGTTAGGGGATGTGAAGCACCCATCTCGGCCATATTTTTGCCCAGACACAGCAATTAGTTTTGCTGCCGTATCTCTATAATAAATTTATAATTGTTTCTTATCAAGGTTCTCTTCTGGTTCGTTCCAGACCTCTTTTATCATTTGGGTTAGGTTAGTTAACAACCCATTTATGGTACTGCATGTGGCTCAAAAGAAATGCTATTTTAAAGTGACTAAGCAGCTCTATAAAGTTATTTGTTTGTTTGCCTTTAAATACTATTTATGATTTCTAGAAGTTATAACTTTATTTCAACTTGTAGGAAAGTTCTAGTTTCAAAAGTTAATCATTAATTAAAAAGGAATATTTATTCTTCATTTCTAACTAAATCCAAGTAACTGAGAGAGAAAGCAAAAATGAAGAGCTAAACTAAAAGAAGATAATACTATCAGATAAAAAGCTACACGAGATGCAAAAGTAGTTTAGAATTTAAACAAGACTATTTATTTGACCAAAGTTTGAGATTAGACAACATTTTTATTAGACCAATTATGTCAATAAAGAAGTTTATGGCGGTTTTTAATTGGGATTTATAATACAACTAATATCAAAAAAAATTATACAACCAAAGAAGCAATATTTTTAACTGCCACCAACATATCCCGCCAAAAAGAGAATATTATTATAATTATTATTTAATTGTGTGAACAAACAAAAACGTAAATAATGGCAAACCAAAAGCATTTATCTCAAACTTTGTGGCTCAAACCACTCGAAAGCACGTCCACAACAGTTACCAACTACAAAGGTAAACATTAAATAATAAAGTCGCAGCACGCCGGCAGTTCGATAATTACTTAATTTTCATATTTTCACTTACCTTGGCTCATGTCAAGTCTAAGCGCCAGCGCCCCTTAAAACACCTTTTGACTCGTTTTTTTCATAAATTTTTTTTTCTTAACTGTTTGGGTTTTTGGGTTTTGTTTTCGAGTTATTTCTGGCTTTGTTTTTATTTCGATCGCCAGACGCCGCTCAGTGAGCTTTTGGCGTTCGGCGTGAGCGGTTCAACGCATTTGCCTACGGAACTCAATTGTTTTACGATCGTAACTGAAATTAAGATAGACACACAATTTAAATTAAATTAAAGCAATAAAAAAAAGTGATAAATTGTAACACGCGAGAGTAGTTCGAAACATGAGACACTTGTCCAAACACCTGAGAACTTAGTCCTGAGAACCAACCGAAATGTAATAAAACTTAATATTATTTTATTCTAGTGTGAAGTGTGCAAACTGCAAACAAGAGATATGATCTAATGATATAGTTTTACAGCCCAATACTCCCCCGAAAAAAAACTAAATTGCCATAATAAATGGTGACGTAGCTGAATCCACAAACATTTTTCAATGAAACCTGTTAAGGTACTGAGCATAACAAAGCTCCCCCAGCCAACCAAATGAAAAGTGATGTGCAGATGAAGGTTTCTCAATTTACCCCGGACCTTTCAATTCGTTGCGAAACTTTGTCGGTTTTCCGAATATACATTTTCATTCCCATTCACCCTCGTTTATCTTGTCGATATCTTTATGGGTAGTAGTCGTAAAGATTCTCGAATTGCATGTCTGCAGACTGTGCAAGATAAGTGAGGAAGTTCAACGCCGCCAAAAATAAAACGAAAGATACTCTTCCGACTGAATGCGACTCGTCTAACTTGATTACAGTTCACATTGTATCAGGCAGTCACACTTTTTTATGCAATAAATTTTATTTAAAGCCTGGACAAAGGCGCTCTATCTGTCAGCGCCTCGGGCGCAATTAAATAATTGGCTCTTGCCAATATAAAATAATAAAAACTCATTTAGAACGTGTGCAGGGTACTTCACGCTTTGGTTGTACACTTAAGTTGCCTGAGTCACCTGCAGCATGTGGCAACAAAAGCGAAGTTTCTAGCTCTGCCGGGTTTTGCCTTCACTTTCCAAATCCACCAGAACAATTGGCAGCTGCGCATGCGCAACGTGACAACAATTTCGAGACGATCTGTGCTCATCCTAAAAAAATTAAACAGACATGGAAATAACCCAATAGGTGAATACCCCCAATTAATGGTTGTGTGTGTTTGCCAATAAATTTGTAATAATTTTTTATAATTCGCGGGTGATACTTTAGGAATATTATGATGTAAAAGCTTTGTATTTTTTCTACGAGCTTAGATATTCTATAATTATTTTTTGTTTCTTTCTTAATTTATCTCATTGTAAAGAAAGATTACACTGGATCGTCCAGTTTTAGGTCATCTTATCTTAATGCAGAGGGAACTCCACTCTTTTAGACAAATCTTATCAGCATTGTAAATATTATTATACCAGCTTTTGTTGACAGTTTCCTTAGTAATTCAATACAGTTCTAAAATCAATTAGCTATGAAAGTGAATTGTAACAGCTTTTCGTTTAAAAATCAACCTGTTTCTAGAATTTTGTCCGAAGTATTACATTAACAAGGCCAATGTCTTGTTTCGTCAACTAGTTTTCAACCAGGAAGACGTTCAAAAAAAACATTCTAGTTGTTTTTGGGTAACCAGTTATGGGCATGTTTTTTTACCTGTACAATATTCGTACTTTCTCTTGTTTATAGAAATGGAAAAACAAAAACAAACTCAAGCCAAAGGCGGCAATAAATCAATGTGAAATTTAAGATGTGACACTATCGCAAAACAAATGAATAAACATGAGAGCCCAAGTGGCTGGCAAAAAACAATACAAGAGGCCTGCAGCAAAAAACCAGGCCAATACGCTGGAGACCTTTTCCCTGCAAAAGGCCAGGAAACTGGTTTCGCCCTGAAGCTTTGAGCCAAGACTTTTGCCGCCGGATCTTTTACCAGTTTGATGCAGTTTTCGTTGCATTTTGGCCAGAAAGGTGCCACCACTCCATTGTTATGTAATGTGTAATCGTCTAAGTCAGTGGGTCAGTGACTTGCCAGCTGGGATTGGCATTTCTGTTGTTATTTTTTTTTATTTGTATTTTTAGTGTCTTTGTCCCACTGAACCGGTAAGCAAACAACTGATTGCTGGTCATTAACGATCCGAATAAGGCCTCAAAACTTGACCACTACCTCAAGTGGTTGAGGTTGCAGTGAAGGTTAATGCAATTACACATTTTGATTGATTTGCAGCTGCAACATGGATACAACAAATAACAACAACAACAACAGCAATAATGGTCACTTGAATCCGGCCTTTGTGGGCTCCACAGTCTCGATACCCGGGGCATACAAATCAAAGGATCACCCAAATATTACCACGCACAAAGGAGAGCGACCTCCAGGAGGATCTTCGAGTGGGCAGCCTGGTGGAGTAGAGGCGGGGGCTGGGCAGGGCAAGCCACGTCCCACCTGGAACAGTGACCTCCAGTTCCTCATGTCCTGCATCGCCTTGAGCGTGGGCCTCGGAAACGTCTGGCGCTTTCCGTTCACCGCCCTGGAGAATGGCGGTGGAGCCTTTGTGATACCCTACTTGATAGTCCTGATCCTGGTGGGAAAACCCGTCTACTACATGGAAATGCTGCTGGGGCAGTTCTCGAGTCGCGGCAGCGTAAAGGTCTATGACTTTTCACCGATTATGAGAGGTAATCACCATGAATCCCATCTAGACTTATTACCAAATTATGGATCAGCTTTAAAGTGCCTTTATTAAAGGTCTCCCAACTCGTTCATTGTCCTGTGTAATCCATTAGGGGGCTGACTCACGCAACTTGAGCCTGAGCTGGCGGATGTTAGCGTGCTAAATCAAACCTTAACCCATATTTCTCTTTCAAGGTATTGGCTACGGCCAGGTTCTGGCCACGGGCATCGTGACCACCTACTACGCCACGCTAATGGCCCTCACACTGCGCTACTTTGTGGACTCCTTCTACCCGACCCTGCCGTGGAGCTACTGTCGACCGGAATGGGGCTCCGATTGCCTGGACTCCGGTCCCCAACAGCAGGAGGTTAGCCTGGCCAATACGACGGGGGTTCGGACGACCTCGGCGGAGTTTTACTTCACGTGAGTACTGGGCATACTCAGGTAGCCGAAGGATGTTTCACCTACAAGCCTATTATCCTGTCTCCAGGAACATTATCCTGCGCGAAAAGGCGAGCATTGACGACGGCATCGGATATCCTAGCTGGAGTCTGGCGGTTTCGTTGGCCATTGCCTGGATCATCATCGCGGCCATCCTTTTTAAGGGAGTAAAGAGTTCCGGCAAGGCCTCCTACTTCCTGGCCCTTTTCCCCTACGTCGTGATGTTCGTCCTGCTGGTCCGGGCGCTCAGTCTGCCCGGCGCCTTCGACGGTGTCCTGTACTTCCTGCGGCCGCAGTGGCACAAGCTTCTGGAGCCCCAAGTGTGGTATGCCGCTGTCACGCAGGTCTTCTTCTCGCTGGCCATCTGCTTCGGCAACATTATCATGTATGCCTCGTACAACCGTTTTGGCCACAACATCTACAGGTGAGTGAGTGGCTCTTTAATTTTTAAAAATTCTCTTTCAACCAATTCTTTTCGCAGAGATGCCAACATTGTCACCACTCTGGACACTTTCACGTCGCTGCTGTCCGGCGTGATTATCTTTGGAATCTTGGGCAACCTGGCCTACGAGAACAACACCACGGACATCTCAAGTGTGGTTAATGGCGGACCAGGCTTGGCCTTCATTTCCTACCCGGATGCCATTGCCAAGTTCAAGGTGCTGCCCCAGCTCTTTTCCGTTCTGTTCTTCCTGATGCTTTTCGTCCTGGGAATCGGAAGCAATGTGGGCATGGCCTCTTGCCTGTCCACGGTCATCAAGGATCAGTTCGTGAACCTCAAAAACTGGGTTATAGTTATTGGCATTGCCGTGGTGGGCTATTTCCTCGGCCTGCTCTACATAACTCCTGGAGGGCAGTTCGTGCTAAACTTGCTAGACTTTTACGGAGCCACTTTTGTGGCTCTGGTCCTGGCCATCTTCGAACTGGTGGCCATTGGCTGGATCTATGGTGTGAAGCGGCTCTGCCGCGATGTGGAGTTCATGCTGGGAATCAAGACCTCGCTGTACTACCGCATCTGCTGGGCGGTCATCACGCCGCTGATGATGTTCACGATACTCATTTATACGCTGGTTCTTTACGAGCCACTGAAGTACAAGAACTACACCTACCAGCCCGGTGTTTATGGTAAGGATTTCCGTAGGATTACTCCCCCGGAAGGACTAATTGAATTTACTCCTTTTTGCAGTCTTCGGCTGGTGCCTGACCGCCTTCGGTGTGTGCCAGGTCCTGTTCTGGGCCGTACCGGCCGTCAGGGCGCAGCCCGCCGAACTGGGCCTGTGGGGCCGCATTCGGAAAGCCTTTGAGCCGCTGCCCAACTGGGGACCATCCGACCCGCACACCCTTAAGCGGTACCAGCTCTTCGTCCAGGAGGGCAACGTGTCTGCCCTCTTTCGCCGCAGCAGTATCTGGCACAGAATCTATGACAATATCTTCGGTTAGCGTTGAATTAGCAATAAAACTATACACCACTTAATGCCGTCGCTTTACGAGGGAGGCTACAGGGCAACCCTTTTATAATCAGACCCCGGCCTGGGTCCGGGCTTAAGTGTCGAATTAAATGCCAGTTGGAGATGCCCCGAGGGCGAGACCATACACATGTATGGTTTCCAGAGATGACATCGAAAGATGCTCCCCAAGATATAATACATTCTCGGATCTACTCGATTTCACAATTTTTATAACAATTTACTTAACCATTATCGATTGAATGCAGTGCCGGAGTTGTAAAGTTTTTACCGCACAACCCGTGTCTGGTCGAGTACTTTCTTGTGTTGGTATCGCATCTCTAGCGTATCCTGGCAACTGGCAGAACTATAAAAGACAAGACAATTGCAGCCTGCGGCACTTTCTCCAAACCATTTTATCCCTACACCCCCTCCACTTTCACCATTTTTTACTCCCATGTGCGCTCACATACTTGCACTGATTATGCCATAAAAGGGTAGAAAGTTCTGATTTTATGATTGAAAGAAAAAGTTCCACGGGCCTGGGCTGGGTGTGTGTGTGTGTGGCGAAATGGCGTCTCAGGGCGTGTGTGCGTAAGGACACCCACATGTGCTGGTGTGTGTATTGTGTGTGTAACACTGCGTGCTGTAAAACACTTCCGCGCAACATCGGGCGCAAAGTATTAAAGTAATTTGTACAAAGGAAACACTGGGATGCGAAAGGACTTTGGCGAAGGACCCCTTGGCAGCCTGCTGTGCAGATAAGCAGAAATGCCAGCCGGCTGCGAATATTGTCAAATGACAAACGATGGCGGCGGATTTCTTTTCGAATACCGACATCCAACACAAACTGGAAATAGAACTAATAAATCATGGCAAGGTAAGCAAACACATTCGTATCAGGACATGATTAAGCACTTAAGTAACTCCTGAATAGAAGCTAAATAAATCAGACTACATAGAAGTGTTTCTCTTCATTAGTTTCTTCACGTGTAGAGTTATCCTTCGACTGCCGCCACCTTAATGAAGACGTCCTCTGAAATGGACACTGGGTGTGGTGGACAGGAGTCTGTTGTGTGTGCTGGGTGTAATTGCACTGATAAAACGCAGTTAAGCGGCATAAAGAGCCCCTTGCTCACGCTGTCATGCACACACGGCGTATGCGCAACGCCCGCAAACGGAAAGCCAATGCATTTGCGAGTTATTTGTCAAGCCATTGTGCCATGTTAATGCGTTTTTAATGGCCAAAACTTGAACAGATGAACAGTACAGTACTGTACTGCGTGGCCCCCACTGCGAGCCAGGCCCTGGCTGCTTTGTGCTTTCCGTTCAAGTGGTCGTGTCCATCCAACTTAATTTCATTGTTTTCCATCGCGAGTCAAACATAATGAGACATTATGGCCGCATCAACAGTCCGTAATTGAAATATATATACATATATGTATATATCCAGAACTGGCAGTACTCTCCCATCGATCTGCTGCCACTCTGAACCATTATTAAATTAAAATGGAATCAATTTCTGTGTATAAACGAGCCCGTGATTTAACACTCGGCCACAAAGGGAAGTGGATGGCTTTTAAAAATAATATACAGTTGAGAAAACTGACAACCAGTGCAAATTATTGGCTCTCGATAAATGGTGGGTAAAAAATTATTCATAAATTTAATAAATGCATAAAATTTGTTTTCTTAATTTGTGTTTTTTTAATTATAAGCAAAAAGATTTTTTACTCATAGAAGCCACTTATAATAACCATTAAAATAATTGATTTTGATTGAAGCCAAGTTTAAAGTCTGTTACATTTTATTTTGTTTAATATTTTAGGGTTTTTTTATCTATGGATAATTAACCAATTAAAAAAGCCTTAGATTGGCAATAAAATTATGATTTTTAGTCCCCATATTAAGTTACTTTAATACATATACTTTAACACTAAGTACCCCTCATTTCTCCCTATAAGCTTGAAGAATTTAGCAGCTAAACCCATTGGCTAACCTCTATCAAAGCTAAATGGAAAGCAAATATTTGGCTTTATTATAATTTACGTTTATTATTGCAAAGGATGCGATGATTTATGGCCAGGTAATAACAAGGCAGTTCATTGTGTGGCAGAAATCACAACACACACTCTCCGTTCTGGCCAAGTGAAAACCAAACGGCGGCCAAATAAATCAGTCGGCTGAAGTTGAGCGGCAGACGGTAAACAGAAAATGACAGGCCAGGTACGCGGCATGGAGCCCGGCACGGGACACGGCACACGGCACTTGGTACACGGCGTTTACCTTTCACGCACATTTTCCCCAAAGTAATCAACGCACTGGCCGCAGACAAAAGGCCCAAAGATACTTGGCCAAAAATGGGAGACGACAGGCGATAGGATGCGACGGTGGCACTTGCCAGTTGCCACTTATCGGATGTCGGGGGGACGTGGGCGGGATGTGGCAGTGGCAGGTCCGGAATAGCTCTGCCTCTTTAATGGGCCAAGCGAAGCGAGGGGTCGGCTACTTAGGCACACATTAACTTTTGGCCTTTTGTTGGCCCGGGAACGGTAACGCATTGTCTGCGGACCTGTCCGCGACCTGGCCCCTTATCTTAAGGCCATGGCAATGACTCGACTAGACACAGCTGCTATTATTTCCCTTTGTTTATTTTCTTTTGGGCCATCTCTCTGAATTTTTAAATTATTTAAATAAATTAGATCACATTCTTCTGCTGTCCGTCCCCGCCCCGGCAGATGGCCAGTGATTTACTTTGAATGGCATTTAGGTGGATTTGTTTTCTTATTTTTGCACCTTTGGCAAGGAACTGGGGGAACGACTGCCTCGGGATGCAGGTCTCATTGTTGTAAAAATTTACAGCCAAAGTTTATAGGCCACAAATGGTTGCCAAATGTGTCGAATTTGGGTTTAACATACAAATTCTAGGCCTAAATGCATTATTTTTAGAGAGGCTCTGTTAAACCTAATCGGTGGGCAATTGTAACAAATTTACATTTAAATTGGAAGATACAATTTAATGGAAAAAGCAATATTAAAATTGTCATAAAAAAGGTATATTAATTATTATTAATTTTAGAACAAACAAGTTGGCAAACATAACAAGTATAACTGTTGAAAGTGAAATTGTAATTAAAACTTTCCTCAAACACACAAAAATTAAATGAGCTGGAAAATTGAATAGATTTTTTCTATTATTGTAGATAGTATTACAATAAACTGTTAATAAATCAAATACAGAAGCGAAAACATCTCATATTTAATTTATGAATATTTAACAGAAACAATTAACTCTTAATTACAGTCGAGAGTATCATTATTTTTTGGGAAAATTAATTTATCTAATTACCTGAAACGAATTAAAAGCGCCATATTCATTACACATTTATGAAAACTTGAGTCGAAATCAGTTTTCGCTATTTTTGTGTCTAATGATGGCTAATTAATTGAATTTGGAGCGACAACAAGTTGCAACCATTTTTCACGCTCGACTGAAGCGGCAAAGGACGAAAAGGAGGGAAATTCCGTCGCAGACAGGCCTTCCATCAAACGTTGCCTTGACGAAGGACACTGTGAGTCGTGTACCTGAACAGTTTGTTATGTCGATGGTCGGCGCAAACATATTTATCCTCTATATATATCGAATATACATACACTTATACAACACAATATAGTATATATTCTGTTTCTGTAGTTTTTGGCCTGGCATATTGTGTGTTTCATATTTATGACAGTCTGTCAATGGCAGGAATGCCGGCGAACGCAAACAAATCATATGACAGACAATACACCGCATAGCCAGGATACATCCATGTCCTGGCTCGAGCAATTTGTATTGTCTGCCTTTCAAGTGGCAGTGGCCGAGGCCGAAGCCGAGGCACTCCAGCCATCGATTGGCCATTCGAAGCGAGGAGTGTGTCTTTGCCGCGATACAGAGGATTGGATTTTATTAGCTGTTTATTGTGCCAATTAAAGCATAAAAATTAAATGCGATATTTCGGCGATATCGCGTGTCCTTTTCCGCAACAAAGCATATATTTGTGAGCGACAAGAAAAAAAGGAAAACTTTCTGAATGGGATTTGTTTATTGGTTTTTGGTTTTTGCAGTTCCGCCTGTTGGCTGTGAGCTGTTAGATGTTTGCTGTTTTGCCAGTTTGCCTGCTTTTAAGTTATTTATAATTATTTTAGGCAACCACAGCTCGGAGAAAAGAGAATGGAGCGAGCGCCTTTCCCGGGAAATGACAAAAACCTTGACAACTTTGCAGTTTTGCCAAAGTTTTATGATAAGTTTTTCATCACAAGACGACGCCAGGGCCGGGCCGGGCCGAGGCAGGCATGTCGTGCCAAGAAACCAAACAGACATTAGGCCACCAGTTGAAAAAAGGGCCAGAAGGGGAACGGACGCTGGCAGGGCGTTGCAAAAACTGACATCACAATGGCTGACTGTCATCCTGGCCTGTGCGGCCTGCACCATGGGTCAAAATACACCACCAACTGGCACGCCACGGGACACAAAATACGTATCGTATCCCGATCCCAATCCAGCCGGGCTCCAACCAACATGGACAGGCCATTAAAATGCCAACTCATTTGCGGAGTCTCTGTGGCACGGCAACCACCTTTCCGGCATAACTAAGATGGCCCAAAACCATCGAAGACAAATTTCTGTTTTGCAAATGATTTACCTTTAACAAATGGTTTCTTTTTTAAATTCAAGGGATTTACTTTAAAGGAAAAGCATTTCTAGGAAAGGTTAGAGTGCGTTTTTTTAAAGAACGCATTCTTCTTGTGGTAGGTTTTAAATAAGCTTATATGGGAGATCCTAAGACCCGAAAAGTATTCTATTTTCAACACTAGGAAGATGGATTTTTCTCCCATAGTAACCATAGACAGACAGGAATCAGATGCGACAGAGACGAGCGTCGAAATGCCTGTGAATTGCAGAACAGACTGCGGAGAAGTGAAAAGAAATGTCGCCGGATGCCGTCAACGCAGCCACAGAAGAAAAATGGAAAATGCCACAGATGGCAGGCTGACTGTGGGGCAGGGCGGCATGGATCGGAGGAAAATAGAGCTGGTAAAGTTTATGGTGAAGTTCATGAACTTGTTCAACACGTGTAGTTGGCACAACAACGGCTTTTCTCCGAATCAACGGCAACAAACTTTAAATTTGTACTCATTAATTGGAAGTTGAAAATCAAATTACTGACTCTGATTTAACTACTTGGCCTCCGGGCTGTTGCCAGTTTTCAGTTAATGTCTTTGGCTAATTTGATTCAAGGGAAACATGGCCCAAGGCGTTCAAGTTAGAGAGTTACCCTTTTCAATGGAGAAATGGGCACTATTCAAAGTTTTCCACATGCCTTAAATCTTTCCATCAAAATCTAAATTTGCTCCCAACTTCCAAGTTCCAAGTTGCAGTGCAAGTCAAGTGGATGGGATTTATCTTTCTGGCAAATAAAGTTGACTTGAAATCTTGGCACTGACGCCCAAGGATGTTAATTCCAGAAACGGCAAATGCCTGACAGATCCCCGTAACTATGTCTTGGTTTCAAGCCAGAGTCACAGTCTGGCAGGACAAAATATTTCATGGGCCCTTTGGGGTAGCATGCCTCGGGGTCTTGGGGCATAATTTCTAGTACATTACACCCTGGCTGAAAACTGCCGTCTCGAGTCGAAAAGTTGGGTTTCCGCATTAACATTCATGCGTGCATAAGGCCGGAAATGTTTATTAGATTTAACCGCAGCCCGTTCACCATGTCGTATACGTAATGTTCTGTTGACCTTCCCTAGTTTATGTCTCAGCCACTCTCTCATGAAAATTACAATGGCACCTGGAAGTTTTTTTGGGTTTTGGGTTTCAGGTGAGTGTCTTTCGCCACCAGCAGTTAAATTTGTTCCGTCATCACTCAATTTATCATCTGGCGAGGGTCGAAAGAAATGAAATGCTTCCCCATTTTATTTTCTTTGGATTTTTTCGCCCTCTCGGAAATGTCAATTTAAGCTCGGGTTTGTCTTAATTATGTGAACTGTATTTTATTTTTTTACGGCTTTCGCTTGAATGGCAAAATAAATTTATTTATTCAAGCAATGTCAACATAGAGATGGCTTTTTGCATCAAATTACATTGATGTAGGGGCGAATTATCTGGGAAATTGATTGATGATGGTGTCACAAAGGACGAAATGTATATGTTGAGGCACCTTGAGAAATCAGTAAAAAATCATTATCTCAATGTCCCAGGAGATCTTCTATTTTTAGGCTCCGTCTGCTGGTTTAAAATATTATTTGCTCTCTAGCAAATCTCTCTAGATTCTGGCCAAAATCAAACACCATTTGTTATTTAAATCCAACGATTGTTGATAAGGAAATGTAAGCCACCCGGCTAAATAACCTAACAAACGATTTCCCCGACATTTAAATTAAATGAAAACAATGTTTTCCATTCGATTTCAAATCTGTGGAGAAAGGCATCCCTCCCCCTAGATAAGCAAACATTTGTGGGCGCACCCAAGGACTAAGACAAAGAAAACAAACAATGGAGCGAACAAATGGTTGAAACAACCGCAGAAACAATTTATTATTTTGTGATTTTACCAAACCGCCCCCTTGACCGAAAAGTGAATAGATGGAAGTGCCAATATGCAGGTTTGCCTTTGCCGGACTTAAATAAATAATGAAACCGGTAAGCAAACGGTCGGTCCAAGATGCTAAAAGTTAAGAGCCAAATGGCCACAATATTGACTGGCGTCGGGCCAGCAAACAAATCTGAATAGACTTGGCTGTCAAAAGGCCAGGCGATTGGCCAAGAAAGGCACATGGCAAATTGGTAAATATGTGTTCTCCCAAGGATTCATTCGTCATCCTGGCAACGGGGCAACGAAGGATCCTACAGACCCAAATTTAAGCCGGAAAATCTGACGTCTCTTGTGCAATTTCTCAATCACATTTATGCGCTGGCCAGCGGCCAAAAGCCATCCAAATCAAGTTGCAGCCCAAAAGCTAATTCTCGACTAGAATCGACCTTTTTTCACCCTGAACCTCGCGCGTCTGGCGATAAAATATGAAAAACTCGCCAAGAGTTCAGAGGGCAGGAGAAAATCATACAGCAACACCGAGGAGCTCAAGCCACTTGGCCTTTGGGAGTTTATGGTAGAGCTTAGCAAACAAAATTATATTCAATTTCCTTTAATGGCCACCATAAAATAGCAGTCAGCAAAAGTAAAGCCGGCCAAAAGCCGCCAGAAAAAACCACCCAGTGAGGCAGTAGGCGTTGTGCCGCGAACTTTCCAAGACAAGAAATCAGGACTCGGGAGAAGATTCCCGCTTGCCATCCTAGCTCGCCGCCCTGGCTCGTCGTCCTCCATGGTTTTTCTTAGGTAAGCAACTTGTTTGAAGTACTTTTAGTACTTCACAATGGATTATGTTTAGATGTATGTTTATCGCCAGATATGAATATTCCATTTGGCGGGGCCATCAGGCTCCGTGCAGCTGTCGTTCTTGTTTCGGGGACCATATGAAAAACGATTAAGCATACGCCCTGTTGTCCGCTCCATTTGCCGCGATTCTTGGCTGTCAACCAAATGGTTTTTAGCAGCTTTCATGCGAGTGGAATTGTAATATTATATTTACAATTGCACGTTTCAGACTTCTATTATCTGAATTAATTATATTTACATACCTATTTACCTTGATGTTTGAAAATATATTTAAATAAATTTAGTAATTCAGTCAGGTTGATTGCAAATTGTGCCAAAAGGATTGACCTTTGTGGCCTTTTTTGAAATGGAAATTAATCAGTTTAAAAGCAAACAGATCAGGCTTACCCTACTTTAAATAAGTTGAATATTTAATACGATTCGCAGGCATGCAAGGCATAATAATTTTATTTTAAATATACATATAAGATGAGATGAAAAAGTACGCCACAAAAAACTAACAAAAACTATAGTTAAAGTCTTGAAGCATAGCACGTCAAAATTTCAAATCAGCTTAAAAGCAGATTTACTCAAAACAGCTCAACAGAGTTTATTTTGCCAAACTACTCCGGCTCCTGCTCCGGGGAAGGTGTGAGTCTTAAAATATATCCTGTAGCTTTAACTATGTCATAGCCAAAAACCCAAGCTGTTAAGCTTTCTGTACAGAAGACAACATAATCCAATGGATAGAGTCAACAAAGGGGGAATGTTTACTATTAGGTTTATCGGCAGCTAAACCAGACGCAAAATGGGCGAATTTAATGCCAGTCGTCCGCATTTTTATGGTCGATTTCGAGCCTTGAGTCCTCTCTATGCGGAATGCGAACGGTTAATACATCAAACTCAAGCATCGTGACAACCAACTTAGTTCTTCTTATCTTCCTTTGTGGCTCCGAGATAGGGACACTTGTCAGGACACGGACACGGACACGGACACGGACAGTGACTGGAATAGGGACAGGAACCGGCCAGGGCAGGATGAAAGGAAAGTGAACCGAGGCCAGAGCCATAGACAATTCGATTGACATGAAATGAATTGTGAAATTAAACAGACTGCACGGCATGACAGCCGCAGAAAGGAAGCGTGGAATTCTGAAAAGGATTCCCGAATGGGGCCACAAATTGCTAAGTGATTTCACCAAAAAAAAATCTGATGCTGAAAGCTGAAATCTGAAAGCCAAAAAAAAAATAGAAAGCCTGAAAGCCGGGGCACTAGAAAGGAAAGAAGCTCCTCCAGTGTTGCCTTGGCAATAAAGATGTGTCTAGGTACCAAAACCAGACGACTCCTAAAAGTCAACAGCAACGAGCATAAATTTGTATGAAAACGGTTTCGAATCCTGTCTAGGTTCTGTGTTATTTTATTTTCCTATTTTTACGATTATTTTTTTTATATTTTTTTGGGCACTTGGAGATCAACGCCTGTTTTGTGTTGACACCATAAATACTGGAAAGGACTCTAAAGGACTGTAAAATCCACCGCACACTTACCCAGGCATATCAGACAAGTCTGAACAAAGACCAAAAGCATTGAGCAATTAGCGAACTTTCTGCAATTGGGCGGCAAAAGAGATTTTCCGATTGCATAGAAAACTATTCAGGCGCGGGCTTTAATCAAAAAGCATTTTTGAAGAGGGGTAACGGCGGTACCGGAACCGGAAACAGAAACCGAAACACACACATACACAACAGACACACTTTTTGGCACTGCCAACAAATATCAATCATCAATTGCGCCTCTGCCCGAGAGCATGCAACAATTTCTATTCAATTCTCGTTTTTTTTTTACTTTTATTTTCTCCTCTTATCCTTTTGTATCCCAGCGAACGGCCCACGCGGCGTATGAGCAATCAATTTTGAATCGAATAGTGTTCGGTACGCGGTGTTTCAATTATTCAAAAGACCGTTACGTTCGGCTCAGAACTGAATTCAGAATTGGTAATGGCTGGGCGAGAAATATGTGTCTTCTCGGTTCTAGGCAGCCAATCCAAGCGTCTGGTTTGCCAGCCGACTTCGCACTGAGGGGACATTCTACCAAACACTTTGCTTTTGGCCTACAGCTCCACCAACACGTTCCACTCGAATCGACGCAGGCGCCTCGGTGGACGTCATTTGGAAAACATTGTCTACGGGTTTTTCAATTGCCAGCCGGCAGGGCAGCCCGCCAGGAGCAGTACTTTTCTTTCCTTTTACTGGCGAAAGGTTGCAGCAATCGGAGTTTTCAATTATGCATGTACATCCAGCACAGCTGATCCAACTCCTGGCTCTGGACTCGGCACTCTGGACTCTGGCGGGGGGTCCTGGCTGGCATGGCCTTGTGTGTCCTGGTCTGTTATTTCTGGGAATTGCAAGCGTCTTAAGCCGGTTGCATGCTGTGAATTTTGTTTGTCTCATAAGGTGTCCACTCCAATGGCAATCATTTCAGTTGGAGCCAGAAAAAAACATATGTATGGAAATCCTAAGCTATTGTGATGCTATCCATTTGTAGCTAAAGACTGTGTTTTTGCAATTTTTGTATATAGAAAACCTGACACTTTAAATTAAAATATTTTACTCCACCGCATCCTTCCACAAAATCAAATTGCACTATTTAACCGCCTATTATTCCACTTCATTTCCCAGCCACCATTTCCGAAAGTCCTGACATTAATCTAATCCTTGTATTTGTATATGTAAAAAGGTGCACATTCCTTGGCTGGCGAGGACGGCGAGCTCTGCCCTGGAGTCCAATAAAATGCACAAAATGCGTGCACAGTTGGCGACACAGTCTGCCTAAATGCAATTTCGCCCCGGAGCGGAGGTCTGGTCTCCCTTCATCCGACCACTTTATATGTATATCATTACCGGGCTAAGGAGACGGAGGGAAATAGCCGGCGAAAATAATTGAATTTGGCGGAAACGAGTTAAGAGGCGATTGCAATGCTCGATTTATTTTGCTACATTGTCGGTGGAGATTGAATCTGCGGCAAGAAATTTAAATTGGTAACTGGAAACAGCCAAGAAACCAGGGCCATAAATCGATGCTGGCAAAATTGTCATGCCGACTAACTGAAAGATGATACGGCTAAGAGAGATACCATACCTGCTCGGGTGTTTGGCTAATTATGAACCTCGTTAACGTGTGCGTTCTTGGCCCAGCTCGGATTGATGGCTCCGACATCCAGGCGACCCTGATGGCATTTCTGATTTGGCTAACAAGCCCGCGAGACTACATCAGCCTGGGCCAGCAAATAACCATAATTAATGAGCTGAGGCATAAATCACCGGCAGGCCAATCAAAGTGGTCATACGTCAGGGAATTTTGCAGGAATTTATCGTGCGTCAGGACATCCAGGAGGACATCATCTTTACTTAACCACTCGACAATCTTCTGTCTGTCCTTTTGGGTGGCAATTAATAACCGAAACCAGAAACAAATCAAATCCCCAAAATTGGCCAAGCCCTACCGCTTGCCAAAGCCAATTATTCGAACGAGGCTTTTAGGATGGACAAGGACCACTTGTAGTTGCACCTTGGCTTTCGTGGCACGTCTGATGGTGGTGCACGCTATTTTTTTTCCATGTGGTACTTTCTTTTCTATTGCCCACTCTGGCCTGACATACGACTTTATTTGCGTCTTCTGCGACACGCGCCAGTGGCTCAAATCGAGCCACAGTTCCACTAACCCGGCCAATTGTCCTGAGCCATCCCTTACCTCCAATACCGCCCCTCCTATGCCGCTCCTCTTCAGTTGTCCGTTCAGCTGACAATTACAACGCATTCGGTGCTGTAACTGTCGCTCGACATTGCTTGATGGCTGTTGCGCTGCCATATCCTTTAACAGGGTATTCAAAAATAATAAGGATTATAGACTTGTACCAAATATGTGCTACATTTTACGAAAAAGTGCTGGATATCTTGCAGGCTTCTTTGTTTGTCTGATAGTTCTTCTAGTTTCCTTATAAGTACCAGATATCTTGCAGTCCCCTCTTCTTTTATTTGTAATTCTTAGTATCTCCATTAGTACCCGGTATCTTATAGTCAAAACATAACAATGCTATTGCCATTTCTCTTATAGTGAGCTGAGTTTATTTAGCATGCAGCTGGCAAGACGCGCGTCAACGTCCATTGAGTCCCCCATGGATCTAATGGCTCCATCGTGATAAAATGCTCCGAATATGTGAGTATTTGTGTGCTCACGTCTGAGTGTTTATATGAGTGTGAGTGTTAGTGTGTGTGTGTGTTTAAGGACTTCCCCTGCAGCAACAATCAGTGGCTGTCGCTTAAAACTTCTCGTCTCGCGTAATTTTAGTTACTCTGCCTGCCGATAATATCCCTCGCCTAATTGCCCACACACGCGCACATTTAAGTTTTCAGATAAAATTAACGCCGTCGGCCAATGTTTTGGGTTTTTGGCCAGGGCAAGTGAAATGGCCAAAATGTGTTCCCAAAAACAAAATATGTTTATGAGGGGAGTTCGTGGGCTTCCGACAAATAAAAGATATTGATCTATAAAAGGGAATTATAAATGATTTAAAAGGTCATTACATTTTGAGCAGTAAAGTTTAGGTACTCAGTGTACAACACAAAGATATTTAAAAATCCTTCAATTTATGCAGTCCAGAGTATTTATAAAATGCAAACACGCTTTATGGAACACTCTGGATATGAATAAAGACGAAGCTCGCTGCCAAAATGGCCGCCAACATGACCGGAACCACGCTGCACGCCATTTTGTTGGCTGCAACACGAGAGCTGGGAGCATGTTTGGCCATGATTAATACGTGTTGATAAACAGTTACTTTAATTAATCGCCCAGCTGCAATCGCTTAAATTCAAATCAACTCACCTGAGGGCTATTTCCAACACGGTGTGCTAACCTAATTGGCGCGACATTTCGGTGGCTTGCATAAATATTTTCCCCCCTTTTTTTTCAAAAATGGCGGAACCCAACGGCGGTAACTCCCACAAATGCATTTATCATTGGCCATTTCCATAGTCAACGGCCAAGTTTATCTGAAATTAAAAATCGCTTTTGCTTGGAATTTATGTCAGCACATTTCTGCCAATACCTGGCCAATTCTGGGCAGTACCCTTTTGGAGTCCTTTGTATGTCCTGTGTGTCCAATTGACGTTGCAATGTACCAAAGCCACTTGTTAGCCGCAACAAAGTTTTCCCATAATTAAAAGCTAACAAAACTTCTGGCCTTTGCTTTGGTAGAAAAAAAAAGTTAGACAAAATAAAAATGCCAACTCGTACATTAGCAAAATTTTGTGCATGTTTCGGTCAATTTGTATAGATTTTAGCCAACCAGGCGACTCTATGGCGCTTTTGTGAGAAACTTTTACGTGTAAACATGTTTGCAAATAGTTCCTGTGACAGGTCCAAGCAAAGAGAAACAAAGATGAGACATTTCTGAGTTTATTAGCTAGTTAAATATCAATGAAGGGTAAAAAAAAGTTAAGTATTATAAAAATTACGGAATATTTTACACTTTTTTTTTAAATTTGTAAATTTGTATGTTTTGTAAGTTTTGCAGTTTAATTTAACACATTTAAATGCTTTTAACGGTTGCTATTTGCATCTATTTTTGAACAACGTGGTTGTTGTCTTTGATATTGTGAGCCAAACCTGACTAAAAGATAGCGCCAGGTAAGGGTAGTGAGGCCAGGTTATGCGATTCCACCACCCTGGGTAAATGAAAATTCTGGACACACTAGTTTTTAAAGTTTATTTTAATTTAAATTTCAATAAAATCGGGTTTATTTATTTATTTGTAGACTGGGCAGTCGTTAATGTTCTCGATTCCAATGTACCTCAGAACGCTGCAGACAAAAGTTTGCTTTTTAAATTCAAATTTAAACTATAATTAATTCTTTATAAGTTTTTTAACTAAAGTCAGAGAAAAATAACCAATAAATTCACCCCCACAGATAAAAATTTTCTCTTTAGAGCAGCATTTATATTAAAAACACATTTTTAATGTATTGTGCAAAAGTTAAAAGTACTTAATCATACATTTCTACATAAACAGAATATACGTATTTTAAAATCATACTCGCATCTTTGCTCCATAGCTCTTGATCTTTTGTATAAAATATAAATATATATATATATATATAAAATGCTTCAAAGTAACAAAAGTCTACCGAGAACGAAAACGAAAATGTTAAAATTACACAATTTGTACGGATAGAGAGATGTGCTGAAAATGCTCACATCAAAAGCAGCGGCTGCATTTCATAAAAAAGTATATATAGTATGTATTTATCCTCTTGAGATAATTCAAAAAATATGGAGTGTGTGTATATTATTCAATTGAGGATTTAGCAATCACATTACTGGCACTCGTTACATTGAAGCAAATTCCCTTTTTTTTTGTTGTTTTTAAAGCATTTTTCACATCAAGATATTTTTAGGAGTTCTTTCTTTACGGTATCTACTTCTGGCCGAGATGCAGCTTGCCGAGCAGGGCACTGGCCTGCTGACCAGCGCTCTCCTGGGCCTGACCGGCCGCATCCTGGATGCTCTTCTCGGCGGACTGACGCTTCTGGTCCACGTATTGGTTGGCCTCCTGCAGCTTCTGGTCCACCGCCTGGCTGGTCTGCTTCAGGGCTCCATCGATGGCACCCTCAGCCTGCTTCAGCTTCTGGTCGGCCACATTCTCGGCGGCCTTGACGCTCTTGTTGATGGCGTCGTTGGCCGCCTTCTTGGTTTGGTCGACAGCGTTGGCGGCCGCCCGCTGGGAGGCCTCCGCCACATTGGCGGCCACTTGCTTGGAGTTCTGGGCCACGTTGGCTGCCACCTGCTTGGAGTTCTGAGCCACAGCCTGTGCCTGCGCCACCGTGTTGTCCACGGCCTGTTTGGTTTGGTTGACAGCTCCGGCAGCCCGGTTCACGCCCTGGTCGATGGCCTGGCCAGCCTTTTGGGCCTCGGCGTTGGCCAGAGCAGCGGCTTCCTTGGCTGGAAGAGTAAAAATAGTTTTAAGGATTTTGGGATGAACTTCAATTGAAATTAAGCTCACCCGTGCTTGTGGCCAGTTGCTCGGCCTCGTTCTTGGTCTGCTGCACAGACTGACCCACTTTCTTGGCCTGCTCCTCGGCCAGCTTCTGGGCCTCGTTAGCCTTCTCGTTGGCCAGCTTCTCAGCCTCATCCTTCTTCTTGCTGAACAGATTGGCCGTCTTGTCGCCAAAGTTCTTCAAGGATGCTATTAGGAAATGGACAGAAAGGATTAATATTCTGGGAAAGAAAAGTTCAGGATGATTTGGAATACTTTGATTTTGGCGACTGGGAAACATGCTGACTTGATTACTAAAATGCAACTAAAACCTGAGCCGGCGCCAATTATAATTTATAGCCTGATTGTAATCAGTTGAGGATTAGCTAATTGGATGATTCGAGATTTCAAATTCCAGACTTGCAGTTGCCGAAACATAAACAAAGCGGCTGGAGCATGAACTATTTACATGATTGCCTATATCTCGTATATTCGAATTTAGAATCGATTAGACGGGGGGAGACAAATGGCTAATTTATAATTAGAAACTGCGCAACGAACGCTAGAAACCCTCCCATCTCCCATCGTGCAAGCTGCATGGCGTCAGCCTTAAAAATTAAAACACTTTAGACCGCTCGGAGCAATATTTGTAATTTAATAGAAATTAACGAGCACGGCAAGACTTTGTGATGATGTTTTGTTTTGTTTTTTGTTTGAATACATTTATTTTTCTAGCTGTCCCCTCGAATATGCATTCCCATTAAGTGACGTGTGCGTTCACTCAAATAGAAACATTGTGCCATTAAACTCGGAACCGCAACGGGTTAGGGAACGGGTGCGAATCGGTTAGTTGAATCGGAACGGAAACGAAAGAATTCCTTTGTCTATACACACACACACACAGTTAATGGCAACAAAAGCGCAAAAATATTCAAATTATTCCGAGTATGTGATGTCATAATAAAGAAACTGCTAAATGAAAATGTTGCCATCTTTCTGGTTTCCCATTTAAATTTTCACGCTTTCTGCAAAACCGATTCGGGTTCGGAATGAGTGTTTATTTTTAGTAGCAGCACGCCACTAAATGCCAAATTAGAATTCTCCAAAAGATACTTTAGCGGTCTAAACATAGGTTCGATTTGGCCAATTTCATTCCGCAATTAATGATCCTCACGCCTCCATGAAGGCTGAAAATTGTGCGAAAATAATAGTTTCTGGTTTGGAAATAATTCTAAAAGTATCTACATATATGCAATAATGGGCAGGAATGTGTGGGCACGGTTGAGGTGTTAAAAAAATATTCACCCGGTGTAGGAATTGGTAATTTTGGGTATATATTTCACATGCTAATTGCTCTAAAATGCTTTGTGTGGCATTGAACTTGCAGAAATAGGCAACTGGAATTTGCAGAACTAATTGTGCTTTCTACGTTCTAAGATATATTTTTGTAAATACTATTAATCATGCATTGAAAGTAAAATCTTCTGAAATGAAATTAGTATTCCCCTCGTATATCCATAGACTTATTTAGAAAAGATACAGACTTCGCGTGGAATTCCTAAAGCAATCAAAGCCGTTTTGCGTAATACGACGCATTTTGTTCTTAACTCTGTTCTTTTTTTATGTTTCGCCCCGAGACTGTGGCATTTTGTGGTCAATATTAAAAACCGGCTAGAAGCATGGCCAGAAGGTAACACAATAAGCCCAGAACCGAAGGCACAGCCTCACAGATTTGTAGGTTGCGGCCCGATGTCGTTTGAGGCAGATAATGCGCAGAAGCTTCGAATAAGTAGTTGGAAAACCTGTAGCTTCAGTACAAGCGAACTCGGTGGAGAACATACATACACACCCGTACTCACAGATTGAATATCTATGAGTAACTCAAGTTCCACACCAGTTCTGGATGCCTGAACAGAACAACAATCGCAGCTAAGGCCTTTTAAATCGATGCTGTTTCTGTTGTTGTTGATGATGTCATGTGAGATACAAATACCCGAACAAGATACAGCTCGCGTGCAAACACACTCTCAGATACACAGATACAGATACTAGTACGGTAGCGCGTGGCAAGTAGTAGCAAGTAGTGGTATGGAATTCGCACGCCGAATCAATTGTTTTGGCCCAGGGCGTCATTGGCGGCGGCCCCAAAAGACCAAGTGTCCAAGGTCAGCACAAAGCAGCTGGCAACAGAACAGTCATCCAACTAGGAGTCTAGGAGTCGTGTCCTGCCACAGGAGCAATTGCCCGATGGCTGATGTCATGGCCTCGCCAGGTAAATCAATAATTCCGCCACACAAATATATGGTCTCGGCGCCAAGGGCAGGTCAGACATCAAGTCTTTTTTGGTGGGGTTATGAAACGGCTAATGGCTATGAAATCACCGGATTGGATCAGGGTCTGATGTACTGCTTTTATAGTATTTTATAGTAGTAGTACCCATAAGAATAACCAATTAATTTTATAGACAATTTTATGACATAAGTTCTATTTTAAAAGCTGTCAAGAACCCTAGCCAAACTTCTATCATAATTTACAATTTAAAAAGTAGACCTCCGAGGGCAGTATAGGGTTAAACCACTTGTAATTCCCATCCCGCTGTTACTATTTTCCGGCCTGGTTCCTCAAGTGTAGCTAATGAAATATTCAATTTAATTGAATGACCCTAAACCTGACCCACAGACGACTGACCAAATAAGCTCGCGACATTGGCGACGCATACCAGAGGCTTGAACTTGTAATTGAATTACCCAGGGGAGGGGCATTAGGGATGCATGCCCCAAATGCTACACATTAAAGAAAACCTTAATTGATTCTCCACATTGATTGTAAAGGATATAAGTAGAGGAGACGGTCGGCCACTTTGGGCCATCATACGGTGCACCGGCGAGATGAAGCATCTACTGACTGCACTCGTGGCCATGATGAGTGTCCTGCCACGGGATCATCTCGTAGCCGCGACCAATAGCTGTCCGCGTCGATACCTCAGAAGGATCAATGGCAAATGCTACTACTTCTCCGTCAAAAAGGTGGGAATATTTTTAAGAATTAAACCATAAACTTTAGAGATAATCCTATGATTCTCCTGACACCTTAAGATGAACTGGTTCGGTGCTTTGAACAACTGCCTACGCAAAGGGCTAACTCTGGCTGATTTGTCCAATCCCACGGACTTCAAAGGAGCAGTGGGTTTCCTCAGCTCTGTGGGCAATACCGAGGACTTCTGGTTTGGCGGCAATGATCTGTACCATGAGGGGCGTTTCCAGTACATCAGCAATGGCAGACTGGTGAGATATTATAGCAACTATAGCAATATGTTGCCTGTGGAGCACTCGGAGTGCGATGACTGCATGGAGGTGCGCATTCGCTCCCACATCAACATGGTGGCGGCGGACAACTGCCAGGAACGTCAGTATTTCATTTGCTCGGAGAGGTACTGCCAGGACGACGACCAGGGCAAGAAGCCCCGACATCACAGTCACGAGCATCTGCATCATTTCCATCACGATATTGGGGAGAGTGCCGACGGGGAAGTAGAGGAGGAACATGGCATTAAACAACTTCCGATTGCCAGTGCCAGTGCCAGTGACCAAGACCATCAGGACTCGGAGGAAGCTGCCGGCCATGCGGATGTGGAAGAACATGATCACCATGGCAATGAAACCGAACATACCAATGGCACAGATACTACTGGAAGTCAGGCTCCTGGAGGTTCATCCACAACCACTTTGACACCAGGAGGTTCAAGTGGAACCCCAGCGGCAGAGGGTGCTGCTGGAGCTACTACGGCTACTCCTGCTTCTGCCACAGCGGCTGGTGGTGAAACCACCACAACAACAGCTGCTCCAGCTGCTGCAGCTCCAGCAACATAAAATATAGAATTCTGTAACTACTTTCGATTAAAAAATAAAAAAAAATATAAAGAAAATCTCAGAGACTTCATTTTAAAAATTTAAGACAGTTTTTTGGGATTATTATTTAAAATAAATTCTTAGAATCTGAACCAAATAGTTTAAAAATGTTGGTGGAAAACTTCTTTAAATTTTGATTGAATTTCATGAAAAATAAACCACAAATAGTCAAGAAATATAATACAATATTTCCAAGAAAATTAGATACTGAACAGTTAAAGGAACTTTTTTTGGAAAATCAGGAAACCAATTGTTAGGAAACAATTAATTCAAAGAATTAATGTGGGTATGAGCGTGTGAGATACAATATATTTCTGAGAAAAAAGATTCAATAAAAAGAGGAAAATATAATTAAATCATAAACTTTTCTTCAAAAGAGTACCAGCATCTTTGAAGTACTGATATTCACTGAACAATTCCAAAAACCCGCTGGTTTTTCCCACAATTAATCAATTCGATGTACTTCAAGGCACTGAAAAGAACAAATTGGTCAACCTCATTGCGATAATGTCAATGTCACGCCCCCAAGAGTGTATATATAGAACAGGAGCAGGCGTGCCGCCCAGTGTACAGTATCTTTGGACAGGTTGTCCAGTTGTTCTGGCAACCATGAGGATACTACCGATTCTAGTCCTGATCTTGATGGTACTCGATCCCGATCAGGTGTTGGCCAGACGCAAAAAGGGCAAGCAAAAGGAGGGGAAGGACAAGAACACAGGACCTTGTGGCAAAGCCTACCTTAAGGAGCTCCATGGCAAGTGCTACTACATGAGCAACAAGAAGGTGGGACACCATGACACCACATAGATTCGAATAGTATCAAGGATAGTCCATTTTCAGATCAATTGGTTTGGCGCGCAGAACAATTGCCTGCGCAAGGACCTCAATCTGGCAGATCTCTCCACCCCGGAGGACTTCAAAGCTGTGGTCCAGTATCTGAGGGGCTTCCTGGGTGCCGATGATTATTGGTTTGGGGGCAATGACCTCCAGATCGAGGGTCGCTTCACCTACATAAGCTCAGGAAGGGTGGTTCGCTATTACGGGGATCTGGGCCTGGTTGAGCCAACATTTCGATCCAACCTGGACGATTGCCTGCAATTAAGAATCCGGGAAAACCGCACCGTTGTCCTGGACGACAACTGCGGGGAGAAGAAGTACTTTGTGTGTCAGAAGTCGGAACAGAAGTGCGTCTATCCCAGCGCCGATGCCGAGGAGGGCGACGGCCAGCACCACAGCCACGAGCACTTGCATCACTTCCATCATGACGCCGGCAAGGGCGAGGCGGTCAAGGATCAGGGGACCCACCCCGAGAACGTGGAAAGCGACTCACGGCCACTTGACAATTCGAATTCAACGGAAATTGGCGAGTCGCCGGAGGACGAGCCGGGGGCGGCGACGAAGGTTCCAAGTGAGGGTGAGACCACGTCGCCAGAAGGCGAAGGGGCTACTGGTTCGACGGACGCCTCCAGTACGGATTCGACGACAACGGCGGCCGGCGGAGGCTCCACGGCGGCTGCGGGAGCAACTGCGGCTACACAAACACCAAGTGCCGCAGGGGCAGAGTCTGCTGCGCCGGCAGCTGGGGCAACTACAGCTACACCTGCACCCGCCGCACCTGCACCTGCCACATAAAAATCTAAAAAATCGATAAATATTCAAGAATAATGAGAACTATCATAAAAATAAAAATGCGATATGGGAGTAGAGCTTTTAATTATTTTAAAATTAACATAAAACGGGAGATAACTAGGTGAGGCAATGTTCTTTTGAGACTTTTTTAAAGAATATTTCCAACAATCCAAAAAAACAATAGCTTTCAAAAACATTTTCTGAAAAATTCAGAAATTAAAAATAGACACAACCGGGTAAAAAATTAGATCGAAGAGAACTGTTTTTCTTTAAATAAAATTAATACAACAGATCCATTGTTTTTACTATGATAGTTTTTTTCCTGCGACCATAGTTCTTAAAAATTCCTATCATTTAAAAATAGAATCGATCCCACCCTTGTGTAAGAACATAATCAAAATCTAAGAACAAAAAATAGAGCTACTAAAAAAAGTATAACGCAATCGTTGAGGGATTTCTAGAATTATCATCATATTTTTTTAGCAAAAAATCTCACAAAAAGATTACTTACATTTCGATGCATCTGTTTGGCATTGATAGGGAACAGATAATATTATTAAGTATGTATAGGATTTACATATTAATCTTTATAATAGAAACCCGAAAAACATTCCTATCTAACATGCGCCAATACTCTCAAGTGGAAATCTTTTGCCAATACATTATGATTAATTTCTTGCACCCACTTGAGGGGAACTTAAGTGTTCCATTTACTTTCAAGGAAACATAAAGCATAAATGAATAGGAAATATATAGAGATATATTCCATATTCCCAGATATGCCAAGAATATAGTGTGTGTTTTTTGTGTGTATCTAGCCAGCTATAATTATATATATGCGTATCCACGTTTTGGGTGTGGGTCGTGCCCGCAGACAGCAACTTTTAGTCCATTTGAAGCTACATATAACTGCGCCATAATTGGCTTACGTATCCACAACGTTGTCATCATCATCATCATCATCCAAGCCAGAGCCAAAGCCCCAGTAGCAGAGGGCAATTAAAATTTTTGTATTATAGCTAACCATATCGGATCGAACACGCCCACAACTGCTACCTACATCTACTCCATAGTCCCCTAGGGGAATCTGGACAACTCCACCTAGCTCCTGGCTCTGACCATGATGATGTAATGGATTTCACTCCCATCCTTATGCATATCATTGATTCTCACTCACTGCATACTATATATCTCCACACACATATGTACGTCTTACTCAATAGAAATCTATGGATTTCTAATTCCAAAACTTTCACAGCTTTTGCCTTTACCTGTGATGGAGCTGAACATTTTGTAGCTGTTATAATTTTTTTTTTACTCTTTCAAAGCCGAATATTCGTTTGATCGAATTGGAATTCGAAAACGCTGAGATTTTTGTTGGTCAACGGGTTTTGAACTTATTTTTTAGGCCGAAGCGCGTTTATTTTTACGTCCGACTGCTTCGAGAGCACAAAAACGTATAAGTTGAAGCGAAAGTAGCTGCTAGTGAGACGTGAACTCACACAGAACTACGACGAGGCAACAATCGGGGACAAGCCAGAAAAGCCATGAGTAAATTTCATAAGCTTTTTGTATTTAAAAAATGGAATTTAATTAACGGAAATTGCTACACAATTTTTTAAAGAACAATAAAACAATATAATAAAGTTTTAATTTTTACCTTAAAATATTTAGAACTTTATTTTGCAGAAGAGTTTAAGTAATCCAAAAAAGAGGGTCTTTAGAAATGTAAGTCGTCTTGAATTTGCCGAATAGAGGAATGGCAGTGCTGCCAGACAAAGGGGAAATGGTTTGGAACTTGGCTAAGGAATTTCTTTGTACTTTTAATATTTTAATAAAAATACAAACTGATACGTTGTTTAACGTATTCATTTTGCAAATATTAGGGTTTAAACTAAAATGTAAAGCACATATTTAACAAAAATAAAACATCAATGGTTTAAATCACTTAAACCCTCTTTATAGCTAATTAATGCAACTTGGGTCTCTTTCTTATTTTAGTTCTGCTTTAATAGAATTATATATTCATTTGTATCGCAAATTTAAATCTCATTTAAAAATAAACTGATCACAATGCAGGTCCTATCACAGCGGAGTACTTTCTGCCTTTCCATATTAATATTATTCTTGACTTGGCCGGTTGAAAAAGTCCATTCCTCCGGAATATGCATCTATGTCAGCAAACACAGAGTAAGTTGAAAAGTTCAAGATATTAAATAACTACACCTACTACACCATTTTCTAGTTGAACTGGTTTGAGGCCCTTTTCGCCTGTCAAAAAAAGGGCATGTGCCTGGCTGATATAGACACGACACTTACTCTCCTGTCCCTAACCGACAAATTCCATGGAGATGATCGAACCGATGTTTGGTTTGGATTAACTGCCTTCGAGAGGACCAATTATAGATATATATCCAGCAACAAGCACGTAGAGTTTACTCCCCAAAACTCCCAACTGGTCAACAACGGAAGTTGTGCCTTTTTGAAACCGGAAGACCCAACCTACACGTTTGCTTCAGCCGTATGCTACGATAAAAAACGTTTTGCCTGCACAAAAACTGAAATGTGCAACGGAGCTCATATGAGGAAACGAAAAAACTTCTGTGCCATTCCCCACAGCGCCAAAGAAATTATGGCTTATTAAATACATTAAATAAATTAGGTTTTCCGCGGATAATAATTTTTGCATGGTTTAATATTTGTTTTTTTCTGGTTATTGAGATTCCCATAACGATATACTATTTTGCAGATTGACGCTTAGCTTCTGCTTTTAGATACGAGACCTGCGACCGACACTTGGTTTTAAAAGCCTGAACCAGCCGCCCTCCAGGAGAAATAGCTATGGACGCATGAACCTAAAATATTGATAAAATTGAATTATTTCTTTCATATTTCTATACCCAGGTAGGTTTACCTCGAGGTATGCTAGCTCCTTCTCATAAAACAGAGACTGCTCCAGAAGGCCCAGCATTAAGTGAAACTTTTCTGTGGCCATGAGGTAAGTCATTTCACCGATATTTTGCTTATACCATTTAGCATAGTTGTCCAAATTGCTCTGGATGTCCATGGTTGATGCTGAAGCAGCTCTTGCTGTTAGCAACAAGTGCAGTAATGATTTCAAGCAGCCTGTGTTGGCAGTGTGCAGCACTCGGCTTTTAAGATACTCTAAGAAATAAAACCCATTCATTAAGATAGTAAAGGGATTAAGGAAATTATACCCACTTTTAATATAGGCTTGGGTTTCCGTCTTGGCAATACTAGCTATGGACTGAACCAAAATAAGGTAAAACTTCCAATCCACAAAGTTTTCCTGGTTAGAATACTTAAAGATGAACTGTAGGGCTTCCTGTTGATGGCTGGCCAAAAGCTGAAGAAGATGACAATATCAGCCATGATCATTAATGATTTTCAGTCTAGAAACAACCTTCTCAGATAGATGCTTTACAAAGGTAAGTTCATCTACACCTTCATTAATCCAGGCACTAAAATTGGCAAACCCTTCGTTGATTTCGTCAACTTGATGAAGTTGCAATACGGTATTTAAATGCATATTCATGCAGACAGACAAGGCATCATCTGGATTAAAACAATATTAAGAATATTCTTGCAAAATTGGTTGCATAAACCTGCCTGGCAAGGATTTTGGCAAGAAGTCCACATAGGCCAATTCGCTTATTTTGGGATTGCTTACTAATCCAGCATATAGGTGACCCAATGCGCTTTCCAGGATAGCTGTCAACTTCATTCTTCTATTCGAATCTATAAAAAGGACAAACCATAAAGGGATACATCATTTTTAGTCAAAGATTAACTAACTATAAGCCGCGGTTAGAAAGAGATCCTCCAGAAGCTCGAGCTCAGATTCCAGAAAGATAACCAAGTCCACCAGCAGTTGATCCGAGTGTTCCTTTCTGTGGGTAAGATCATAAATTTAGTAAAACAGAACAGTAAAGGAAGAACCTGAAATCCAACCTTAGGATATACTCCGAAGCCGTGAGTATTTGGAGTTTCTGGAGCTGCAAGAGAACCCGGTAACTTCCAACATTTGTGGGCAGCTGGCTGAAGAACCTGGAGATTAGGAACTACAAAACAATCAGAAATTATAAAAGCAATAAAAGAAATCGCCATAAACCAACCTTTTCTTGGGCGTTTAAGATTTTTAGTAGCTCCACAAACTGAAACTCGTGGGTCGCGCTCTGCTGTTGAATTCCGCATTGCTTCTCTAAGGTCTGTTACAACTTAATTAAATACTTGACTCCAAGATTTATTTGAACTTCCTTACCCTACAAATAAACGCATAGCTGGTGCTTATGTTTGTGAACTTTATAGACCGAGGCAAATCAGTCATTTTACCGCGGCTTGTTTTGATTAGTTTGTTTTGATTATCAATTTTTGAATAGTGTTGCACACTGTCGAAAGTTATCGATTGCTAGTGTGACCGTTAAAATGGCGCCCAACAAGTTTTTGAAATTTTAAAATATCAAATTGGAAAATTAAGCACTGAAGCTATGATATTTATTATGTATATGAACTAATTCTAGTGACTGATTAAAAACTAGTTACAAATATTTGGTTATTTCAAGCTTATGAAGCTGATATCTTGAATATTCTAACTACTTTACACAATAGTCCTTGCGCTGCTGTCGTATAACTGCATTTAGTTTTAGGCACTGCTGCCTCAAGGCGTCATTGTCGCCCTTAAGGATCTCAATGGTCTCCTCCTGGCGCTGAATGGTCTGATGTACCCGCTTCTGCAGTTCATCCATTTCCTGCTTGTGCCGATCACTCAAAATGGCCAGTTCATTTTGAATGTCCGAGTTGAGATTCTCGCGTAGCTTGTCCCTCTCGTGGATGATGTCGCCACACATCTTCTTGCTGTGACCCAGCTCCAGCTGCAGCTGCTTTACCTCCGCCTGGCAGTTTCGAACCTGGGCATCCGCCTCTGCCAGCTTGCCCCGAGTCTCGGCGTATTTTTCCCGCAAAGACTTTTCCACGTTTTCGGCCAAGGCTAGATCCTTTTCGTACTTTTCCTTGAGGCGTCTGTAGGAGAAGGTCAAAGTTAAAGATTCAAGAATACTCAAGACCAATACTTACGCCATTTTCTGATCATGCTCTTCTCCATGCTGCAGCGCATCCGCTTCCATGCGAACCACTAGCTCATCCAACTGTCGATCCCGTTCGGCTCGATAATGCTGGCGGATGGCGTTCTCCTTTTCCGCCTGAGCCACCTTGGTCTTGTTCTCGTGCTCTGACTTCCACAGTTCAAAGTCCGCCAGATACTGCTGTTCAATGGTATTGATACGATTTTGGTACTTCTCCTCCTGCTTGGCCATCCGCTCCTGCATCTCGAACTTGGCCTGCTCCAGCTCTTGCTCCTGTTCACGCAAGACTTCTTGCCGGCGTGCCTGGTAGTCGGCATCCTTTTGTCGGAGTTCCGCCTGGAGGCGCTCCCGCTCAGCCGTAAACTCCTCGGTTAGTTTCTGCCGCTGCTCGGCCTGAGTCCTCTGCTCCTCCTCCAGTTGCCGCTCGAATCGCTCTCGGATCGCTGTTCGCTCCTTTTCGATAATGGCTTCTCGATCCTGGGCGCAGCTCTCTCGAATGCTAGTCTCAATCTGCTCGTGCTTTGCTCGGGCTTCCTCGAGGGCATCGAGCAACTGCATCTGGTGAGTGCGTTTCAGCTCGGTAACCTCCCGCTGGTGGTCGCAGTTCATCTTATTGATCTCCGCCTCCAGGCCTTTTACCGTGAGCTCTTTAATCTTCTTGGTGTTCTCGCGCACCCAACGCTCTCGTCGAATCTTTTCGCCAGCCATAGTAGTTTCTTTCGTTCTAGTTACCTCTGTCTCCAGGCGGTGCTCCCAGGCCTGGTTCTGACTCTCCAGACGCCGGGTGAGAGCTGCCACTTTCTCGCACAGCGACCCCTTGTCCTTGAGCAACTGTTCAATGAATCCCTGATGTCGGGTCACCACCTCCTCGTAGTGCTTCTTCTGGTCGCGAAGCTTGGCAGCGTTGTTGGTCTTCTCGGCCCGCAGACTCTTTTGCTTCTCTCCCCTTAGCTGGATCACATGCTCCTTGGACAGATGAATGGCATTGGACAACTCATTAGCTCGAAGACTTAAGGCAATGACACGTCTAGCCAGTTGATGGTTGGGAAGCATAAGGAGCTCTGACAGCCTGGAACGATATTGATTATAGTCAGAGTTCCTTTGAGGTCGTGGTTAGGAATGCTTACTTGGGCACCTCGTCGGTGACGTCTGGTTCCACGATAAATTCCACCTCGGATCGATTGCTCTCCGGAATGGAGCGACGTGTTTCCATAAGAGTCTTATCGCAGCTGCTCTCCACGTTGTTCAGATAGGCCAGAATGTCTCTAAAATTAAAGTTTATAGATTGCGTTTGGCAAAGCTAGTAATTATTGGGTTTTAACTCATTCCTTACTTGTATTTATCTCCAGTTTCAGGAACGGCTGTCTCACTCATAGTCACTGTATCCGCCGTTTCACATCGAGAGTCCAACTTTAAATTGAGCTCACTGGGAAGACGCTCGGAAAAGTTATCTAAGGATGTATAAGACATAGACGTTACAATGTCCTTTTCCATAAGACTCTCCATAAACTCACCCATTTTCTTGTCTTCCTCGATTTCCTTGATTACAGACACTATCTCGTCATAGGTAGAACCTCTGGAATCCTCATTGGACTTTAGGGAGATCTGGGAAGCACTATCATTGTCCTGGGCCTCGTCCAAATCCTCTAGTCCCTGCTTGTGCTTCTGGTCGTACTGCTTTTGATCCTGCATACTCATCCAGCTGTCCACCTTGTCCAAATTGTACTCCGATAGCTTTCTCTCCTCCCGGAGACTGCCAACGCTGATGGCTTTCTTTAGCTTTCCCGGAGGAGCACTGACTGGGTTATTACTTACCACCGTCTTGCTTAGTTTGGTGGATTTCCCGTTCCGGGTGATCGGATCCGCACTGGCAGGCTTCACGTTTTCCTTTTTCTTGCCCACAAACGGCGGAGTCGATGCCACCTTGAGGTAGTTGTTGATAACTGAATCGGAAGTGCTGGCTCCGAAGGCCCTACGATCGTCATGCACTGCTGGAAGGAAGTTGTTCTCGGCCCCAAAGTTCCGAGGATTGGTTGTGGCTCTGTAGGTTGAAGTATTGTTAATGGAGCCACTGCTGGAAGCTAGGTTCTTGGTCTCGGACAAGTTATTCTGCTTCTCCTCCGGAGGAGAGGCGTACTTGTCCAAATAGTTGGGAAGTAACTCAATATTATTCAGAGGCTCAGGAGTGAGCTGGTTTTTAACCACTTGAACGACACCCACTGCCTGCTTGTACTCGCGGATGACATTTAGCTCCGGTGTGGGTGACTTTTGTGGGTGAGCCGGGGGAGGAGATGGCAGTGCTGAGACTGAGAGTTCCGTCACCTGGGTGACCTCCACAAAGCGACAGCTGGGCGCATCGCAGGCGCACTTCACCTCGGAGGCAGCCGAAGCCTCGTTGGTACTCGTGGTCGACGAAGACCGTGTGCTGCAAGTGCAGTTCTCCGACGGACACTTGGGATACTCGTACGTTTGGGCCAGGACTTCACCCTCGGCGGCAGCGGAACCAAAGTGTACGGTTTTCTTTTGGCCAGTCGTATCCGACGACTCTGCTTTGTTAATAAAACTGGGAAGCATTAGAGGTCCTGGAGCTGAGATACTAGGACGCTGGGATTCCTGCTTGTCATTGTCGCAGTCGCTGGAGTCCACATCGGCGTGCATGTTTGGCTTGCTGAAGGACACTCTCCCGGGAAGATCGGGCTTGGCAGTGCGCTGGGAGAGGGCTCCATTGCTGAGACCCTGCAGGGGATAGGATCCGTAGGACTTACCCTTGTCACTGCCGCCCGGCATTGTGACCAGGAACCGCTCCAGTTGCTGCTCCCGCTCCCCCTCCTCGCTGCTGTCGGGGGTGCGTTTGTGGAGCGAGTAGTCCGACTCGGAGGAGTTGCAGGTGCTCCGGCACAACCAGCTGCGCTTGATGGGCTCCTCCAGCAGGGACTTTAACAGATCGTTCGAGGAAACCTGTCTCTGTGGGCGAAGGATTGTATAATTCTGTGATTCTGATGGTCAGTCAACCTCTCACCTTGCCACTAAGCCTGGGTTCCTTTTCGCTGAAGTAGTTGCTCAACCGCCGACCAAATTTCGGATCCGCCGACTGAGGTCGCGCCAGAAAAGGCGAGGAGCGACTGCGTTGCTGCAGGAAAGGCGAGGAGCGACTGCGCTGATGCAGGTAGTTGGCCGAACGAGGCCGGAAATGGGGACACGGATTGTGGAGGGTCGTCAGCGAACGACTTGTGTACTTGGGCTTCGTTTTCTGTCGTGTGGCGAGGTTTATCTGCAAGGCGAAGACGGTGGGGTACAGGGATAATCCGATGCCTCCCGTGGGAACCAATGCACCTACCTGGGAACCCTTAAGACATAAATCCATAATAGCTCGCGATTAGACACTCATCTACATATATTTTGATTTGACTGCCCTGCCATGGCCAACTGATTTTCGACCCGGTCTGAAGCCAACTCCGTTTGAATCGGTTGTGCCAGACAGTTTGTTGTGGCCGAGTCGCCACCTATGCCACCACCACAGCCACCTGGCCGAAATATCGATTAAACGCACGGCCCAGGGGTCAGGTACAGGACAGTTGTGGGTAATGTTGGTCAGCACTGCCACCCCAAAAACACTGACGGCCCTACGTTGACATGGTTACTTGGCACGCCACCTGACCCACCCTCGATCACCGGAACAGGTGTCGACTATTCCTTGTGATTCACCACCAAAGATACGCTTTTCTTTCAGGATATATTATATTATATTGTTATTACATTTGTTTTAAAGAAATAATACTTTTTATTATCGACTCCTTATCGACTTCCTTTCTTATTCTTTTTCGGCTGGGACTTTGAAGATGCAATCATTGGGGGCGGCGGTGGAGGCGGTGGTGGAGGAGGACATCCTGAAGGAGATGCCTTTTTTGCTAAAGGTTTCAAAGAAGGTGGTGGAGCTGGAGCTTCTGAAGAACTCCTTAAGTTGTTTGGAGCCTTAGAGGTAAACTTGGGCGGTAGTAGTGGTGGTGCTGTTGGTGGTGGTGGCGCAGTCATCAGTCCTTTCAATTTTGATGTTAAATAGTTGATTTGTTCAATAGTTTTCAATATTTCACGACGGTTCATTTGATTGTCTTTTTGTGTGGTTTCCTTTATTTCCCAAGGATATGTATTTAGCTCCTTTGTCTCAGTTTTTAGAGGTATTTGAAGTTTCTTTGTCTCAGCTTTAAAATCATTTGGAGGTTCCTCTCTCACAACTTTTTTCACCGTCTCAGTCATACAGTCTCTGGTTAAAACATTCTCCGCTTGAGTTGGTTCTGGAACTAATGGGTAATTCATTGAAGGTCCCAGAACCGCCATTAATTTTTTTCTTATAGCTATTTTTTCTACGGTATCCTTAGTTTTCAATGGTTGGATTAGGAACTCGTTAAACTCCTTTTGGGCCAGTTTTTCGAGCTCTGCCTTTTTTTTAGGTTGATTAACTGCCTCTGCTTTGGGCAGAGGATTCTTGGGAGTGGTTTCCTTCTTTTCCGATTGATGACTGGGTTGTTCATTCCTATCATTCGCATCCATATTTTGCTCCATTAAGTCCTTAAATCTTTGTTGAATTTTTTGGAAATTCTCTTTTCTTTCTGACATTTTTAAGCGATTTTTAGTTAAAATTAGTATTTGTTCTTTATTATTTCAAAGCTTCAGAGCTACTGAACATTAAAGTCAGCCTAGTGGCTTAAAATATTTGAATTAGTAAGTACATGAAATTGATAATTTTTGTTTATTCATAAGACAGATCATTCTGTGATAGAATGCCGTGACGAATAATACATGTCTCACTTATATTGTACCTAATACAAAATATTATTTCAAAATATAAATAAAATAGTATTCTACTTGGGGCTTCAGTTATTTAAGGTACATAACCCTCAAAAACTTCTCCACGTATATCCTATCTGTTTTGAGTCACTATTTCCTATTTTATCATTATTTTATTACTTATGTCCAACATAAAGAGTCTCCCAATCAATCACTGACTATCGCACATAGACAAACCAGCCGAATCAAGGCAATTAATCATGGAAGGTAACTGATTGCGATTGGAGCATATCGAAGCGAAGGTCATACGACCATACACCCTGAGGTAGACATCGGCAAACACTTTCGGTTTTCATTCATCAGAACTACTCACTCCCTGAGCCCGAGGTCTTAAAATTGTCTTATATTTTTCGATAGCCAGGCTGCGGAATCGTCTGGAGCTTTGCCAGCTTTCTAAGGTGCTTGGGTGACTAATTGTTAACTTATTTAAGACCCGGGGCCTCGTAATACCCCATAAATCAAAGTTTAATATTTACATTTATCAGTGCCCTCTTACCATCAACAACAACTGTTCTAGTTTTCGAACAACACATTCCCCACAAAGTCAAACAATAATAATGTTATCTTTGAGGTACAAGCTATAGTACTTCAATTGCAAAGTAAATAAAAAATCATATAATATAGAACTCTTACGACAAGTACCCCTCCAGTCCAAAGTCACATTTTTTGTAATAATAATAATTTATTTAAATAAAGCAAAGTGTTTCTATTGCAATATAAACGTAGTTTGGTTTCACAAGTCCCCCGGAGGACTCGGCCTCAACAGCGGGATATCTACACAGATATCTCAATGGATCCATATAGATATAGTGGATCCATGCAACAGACCTATATAAGGGAATTGGTTCATCACTCTCGACACTGACTGATGCGCGAAGCATAAAATTAAATTTGGCAACATTTCTCGTAACTTCAACTTAGCAGCTAACACAAAATACAATACAATAGTTGATGGTTTCATTTTTTATCCATTGTTGTTTAACAAAACAAATTGCACTACTCCTCCTGGCTAGGACCTCGGATAATCCACCTATTCCGCTCGCAAGACTGGCGTCACCTGGACCTCGTTCTGGTCGTCGCTCTTGATGTCGAACTTCAGCTTGGTCAGCTCCTTCAGCTCTCCATCGGCTCCGGCCTCGGCAGGAGCTTCACTGACCACTTTCACGGTATCGGGATAGTTGTTCTCCCCGCCTCCCAACTCCTGGGAGAAGCTAACCACGGTCTTGGGTTCGTAGTTCACACCCAAAGCGCCGCTTGGATCTGGGGCGGGTATGCTGGGACCGTCGCTGGTCTGGCCATTAGTGTGGGAAATGGTAATGGCCTCCTCCTCCTTTTTCTCACCGTTTTCAATAGGCGCTGACTCCTCCTTCTGACCATTCTGAGCGGGGGCAGCTGCCTCCTCCTTTTGACCGTTCTGAATGGGAGCTGCTTCCTCTTTCTGGCCATTGGTGGTAGGTTCCTCCGTCGGAGTTGACACACCATTCTGCACAGGCTCCACAACCTCAACTTGGGCCTCCACTGGCACCGGGGTGGATGTGGGTGTGGCAGGAACCGAAGCCTCCACGGGTTCAGTATCTGGCTTATCGTCGTCTTCTCCAGCCACTGCCTTGTTGACCTCCTCAATGGCCTTGGCCACCTCCTCGGGGGCCACTTCGGAGTGTCCGTTGGTGGCAACCTCCTCGCTATGGCCGTTGCTGACCACTGGCTCTGGTTCTGGTTCGGTAATCAGGGCTGAGGTAACGGCAGCTGCCACTGGAGCGGGCTGGGGCTCCTCCTGCTCCTTCTCCTCCTGAACCTGCTCAGTGACTGGAGCAGGGATCTCGAGAGCGGGCACTATGGCGGGACTGGCCATGGTCTCCACAAAGGAAGTGCGGTTGGGGGAGTCCGGCGAGATCATGACGTGCGTGAAGTATCCGCTGCGTCGGTTCTCAAAGTCCAGGACGTTCTCCTTGGCCAAACGCTCCTGGATGCGGCGCTGGCGTCTGATGAACTCCGGCACGTTCTCATCCTCGCCCTCGGCGGGTGGAGGAGAGGCGTTCAACTTGGGACGGCGCAGCACGACCTTGGCGGCCTCGTTTTCGGCCTCAGAGGTGCCATTGCCGTTGGCGAGGCCATTCGAGGGCTTGAACACGCCATTGAACTTGGTGCCCACAATGAACTTGTTGGTGTTGGCGGTGCTCACGTTGTTGTTGGCACTCCTGTAGGCATTGTAGTTGTTGTTGGCACTCGGCTGTGGGCTACCGTTCTCGTTTCCGTTCTCCTCCTTCCGGGTGATGGTGAAGTTGGGCTTGCCGTGGTTGAGCAGAAGCTTGGTGGCCGGGGAGGGGCTCTTGTCCGGCAGGGGGGAGGGCAGTCCGCTCCGGATCTGTATGGTCGGCTTGTTGTTGATTGTCTCGGCCATGTCTGTTAGTCTCTGCCTTTGAATCTTCAGTCGCGATCGTGGCTTTTACTTTCCGTTTCCGTCGTCTTCGCTAACGGTCAGTCTCTGGAATAGAAGAAAGGCCGCCAGAAATTAATTAAATATTCAGCATTCGGCATTTAAATTGCCAAAAATTAAATCACTAGGTTTCGATCATGCTAATTTGCGGTGAAAAGACTTGGCTTAGATCAATATGTGTATTCAAAATTGCTCACTAATTGCAATAATTTCTTTGATTGGTCAACCCAAAAAAAATACCGCTATAAATTAGGAAAAATTTCTTATCGAAATACCTTTTAGCCGATGGGTTAAAATAGTTAAGTTTCTACGTGAAATAAAGTTTCAGGCAATCTCTGAGATTAGGCCACAATGAGTCACACAAGATTGGAAAAAAATTTCACTTCAAGTGCTTATTATAGATATTCTTTTAAATATATTTGCTTTCTGACAAATAATGAATCAGCCAATTGTTAAATAATCTTTGGGGGATTCCTGAGAATATATTATCTTCATTTACCATAAACTTTCCGCTTCATTTGTAGATTTAATTCAAGAAAAAATATTCTAAAGTAAATTCTCTTAAACTAGCTAATATTTTTCTCCCTTTTTTCTACGAATTTGATAAAATCATGTAGAGATTATCAAGCTCCCAGCAAACCACTTGAATATTTTGGGGTTTCCTCAAAACCTAATCAGGATTAAAGGGAAATAAAACTCTTATTGGTTTCCGTTGTATGATTTCAACAGAAATCTAATCTAGAACGTAGCTAGATTCTCAGCTAGATTTTTGTTTTATAGTTTGAAATATAGTCTTAAATAGTTGTTCTACTTTAAACTATTCACTTGTTCAAACCAAACACTTGTTCAACATGGCGTATGCGTAATTACGTAACATCAGTAGCAATGCCAATGGGAATGGGAATGCCAGGGTCAGCCACTGGCTATTGTCGGGGCCCCCAAAACAAATACCGGCTGATTGCTGATAGAGGTAAACTTGCTTAAATATCAATTAGATCGATGGCACACTCGGGTTTGTCCAAGTGAAATGGTCCGGCGACAGTATAGAAAAGCACATGCTCAGGCTAATTGCCCGGCGTTCCGAATCCAAATCGATCATACCCATGTGACACGATATCGGACTGACCAACGCACGTATTCGATCGGAACTGATATGAATACGATACGAAAACTTTTCATTTCCATTACCATTTTCCTCCACCCGCCTTCCGCTCCAAGGGGGCAAAATTGAATTAAAAGCTGCAATTTATAGACCTCAGTGCACTCATATATTCTAGACGCGTTCAATTGAACCCCAGCAGGGAGAGGTCAGCAGTCGGTATTGCCTTTCCATTACTCAGTCGGGTTTTGATTGGTTTATTAGAAACCCAAGCTCAAGCTCAAGTCAAGTGATTAAAACACTGAAACTCGAGATTTACGATTTTTACGGTTAAGCTCTTATAAGCTTGTCAAATTTTATAAATTAGAGAAACTATTTAAGCTGAAATTTAATTACTTTTAGCTCAAAATTCAATTGTAAACTCTATTGCCTAGTTTCATAATTTTTTTTTAACAGTGACATAATTTTTCAGCCTTTTAGATAAGAAAACTGGACAATGAGCGTGCCACTGCTGTACTACTGTAGTATTTTCCCTTAATCTAGTTAAAGCCCTTGACAAACAATTAAACAATGCAGGGAACTGATAAAATCTTAAGGAAAACCATTTTATGGCCAAGACTGGGATTAATTTTTCAGGTTTTGAACTCTGCCGCGGGTCTTGGCGTGTCTTATGAGCGGTACTGCAAGGCAGTGTTAATTACGGTCAGCTTTGGCCACAGTTCGAACTTGGCTTTAATGCCAAATAACAATATTATTATTTCGCCTCGGCTATTTGTTGTTTGTTTAATATTTTCCCACTTGGTAAGCCGGCAATCGTCCAAATTGGCCTTGAAATGTTCAAGTGAAGTGCACTGTTGGCTATTTTTGTTACCAATTTGCATAAGGTGAGCGAGATATAGTGAGACTTGTTATGGATGTTCGGTGTGAATAAAATTATCTGTTCTGGGTTGAAGCACAATAAAATACTATTTAATATCTTTTGTTGACTTGAAAGCGAAAGCTTTATATTTCAGAGAATATAAAATTCCTTGGGGGAATGGCAACTTTCGTCTTTCACCCAAATTCTTCAGATCTTTGGATTCAGGGTGTGAATGGAGACGCATAAAGAGCTTGGCTTTAGAAATTCGATTTGGCCATCTCCCCTCGACAACAGTATTGCGTGTATGTGGTGCGTCTATCACTCGGGAGATCAAATTAGTTTCTCAGCCCCTTTCCTGAACCTTTATTTATATATCTTATTGTTGTTTTTGGCTTCAACTCCAGCTTGAGGGCATTGTGGTTTCCGTACATACATACAAAGTAGTGTAACTCGGTCAGCTATGTGAGTGTAAACTGGTAACTGGAGTACAACAATTGCAATCTGTTTACATCTCTGGCTGAGACCTGGTCTGGGAATTTCAGGGGCGTACTGATGGCTCATAAATATGGCCAGAAAAGGTGCCAGTTTCAGTGGCATAGGTGGCCGGCGGGTAATCTTATCAAAGTCATTGCCAAAACAGACTGATAAGCCCGGCCAGCATAATCCGAGCAGATAAGGTGTTGCAATGAGAAGAGCTATTACCCAATCATGTGATTAACGGCCCCAGCAAGACCAGGCCCAGGTAAAAAGAAAGTGAAATCGACTGGCATTAAAAAAAGGCAAGAAATAAAACCAAAGAGAGTTCAAGGTACGACGATCCATCGTCGGACTTAGCGAGAGTGTTTTGCTGCCTGGGTGCATAATTAGTTGTAAATATTTTTTATAGAGTTTATGTTTTTTGGCGCTTTGTGGCAATTTATGTGGGGGATTTATTACGTTAGTTATGTGAGTGCTCGTCACTATTTCATTTTTTTTTGCATAATGTGAAAGCTTAAACGATTTCGTTTAAGGAATTTTTGCATTAAATAGAACGTGTTTTAGATACACGACAATTCGCCATAGTCGAGCAATTTAACGGCCACAAAATGTCAAAGTCACGAACACAATAAGCGTAAGCGGCTTTTTTCCTTTTATTTATTAATTTTTTTCTTTCTTGCCAGCGACCAACACGGCGTATGGGCAATCTTAAGGCGCTCAGACAATATTTACACGTTTGCAAGTTTTTTTTTTTTTTTCGAAAAATATTATTTCTCACTTTTGGCACACACACACACACACTCACACTAGAAGATATAGACGAACCTAAAAATTGGGAAGCTAACTGTTATTTTCGTGTCGTCCGCTGCGTTACCGTAAAACGCCGAAACGTAACTGAAAACTGAAAACCCAAACCGAACCTGAGCAACTGGCACGGCAATGCCTGGGAGCTTGGAGCCCGTCGTCGTTTTTTAGTTATCGCTCTGCTCGTGCGCAATATATGGCTGGCAAAATAAATACAAATACAAAAATACAGCAAAAAAAAAATGCCATTTCTGTTGTTGTTGGTGGGTCTTAATAGCCAAACAGAAAATGCCCTAGAGGCGCCCTGCGCGTGAAAGGTGCGCTCTGCGCTCTATTACTTCCCGCGACACCAACAAAATAAATAACAAATAAATACCTAAATGTGTACATTACTTAATTGCTTGCAAATTATGCATCATCTGGGTATCCCAGAGTGTCCAACTTAACGGCCAACTTCCGACAGCCACACTTTTGGCTAAAATGTTTGCCCAAATATTTCTGGTTTATACGTGAAACAGATCTAAAACAGATCATGAATATGCATTGAGGGTCTGATTATCTGATTCTGTATTAGTTTGCACTGCAGCGGGCCCCTTAAGTAAATGGGAAGAAAACCTGTCGCACCTGTTGACTCACTCCGTACTCTTTGGGTCAGCTTTACGGGGACAGTTGGCTCCAGAGAGGCACGTACTGACTTCCACCTGAGTGGTTATTCAATGACTCAAAGATTAGTCGCGGTATTGCTTTATGACCAGCACAATTATTATTTATTTATAGATCAGCAATTAAAGTGTCCTAACTTGTTTGCCGAGGGATTTTTTATTTTGTGAGTGGCTGGTACAAATTGCTAACATTAAGCAATAAACAAATATTAATCGAATGCTTGCAACTTTTTAAAAAACTTCTAGAATCTAGACTCTCTCTTTATCTTAAAAAAATGAAAACAAAAAAAAATAAATTCTTGAAAGAATTCCACTTCTTGAGCTTGTACACTTCAAGTTTTGAGTGCTACTAGGTATGTAGAACCTCTAATGTTTTCTTGTGACTCATAACCCTTGAAATAACTAAAAAAATCCCTAAAACTATACTTATCGGTACAACCAAAGAGGCCTCTTGATAAAAACATAAACGATAATAATGTCACCATAAATTTATATGGAAATTTGCTTGTTTAAGTTTTTTAAGATAACCAACATCTAAGGAACTTTTTTTACATTCTTTCTATGGATGTGAATAAAAGTACACGCCTAGCAAATATCATTTTCATAAACCATTTTCGAAAACATTTTTCCGTGATTCCTGTTTTACTATAAGGCATAAACCCTCGAATTCCTCAAATCGACAGACGAAACCATATCGGCTTGATAACTTTTGCCAACACCAAAAATTTTACGAGTTTGTGTTCGCACTCGTGTTGGGGCGTTTTTTATTTCGGTTTTTTGCGTTTGTTATTTGATTATTTCACTGATAGCGAGAGCAAAGTGTATTTGCTATTTACACGATTCTGTGGGTGCCCTAATGCCCGGGGCTTCCGCGTAAAGCTTCCAGCCAAACCCCCGGATGGCCGTGAAAAGTGGGGCGGAGGTGGGAGGATTTGGGCCTTGTCGTATGGAGTGGGAAAAGCCGTTTGACTTGTACTCTGCGCCTGTGCCTAGGCCTGTTTCCTATGCCTGTGGGGAGTGGCCTGGCCCCAAAAACGAAATGAATGCCCCATATACATGCTGGCCATCATAAAAGCCGGGAAAACTGGTAAGACTGCACAAGGAAAAAAGTCACAAAAATGGGTCAAGTATTCGATAATCTTTAAAGGTGTTTTAAATAATAAATTAGATTAGATGGTTTTTACTTGAAAACTCTAACTTCAAACCATATGGGGAACGTAATCACCGATTCTTAGATAGCCATCTGTTATAGTCCAAAACTTTAACAAAAGAGCTCTTAAGTGAAAAACAATTTTCAATCAATTTCTTAACCAATTTTCTGACAAATTTGGAACGAAAATTAACCAAGATCTAACGCCGTTAAGAGTTCTGTTTTTTCTCTGTGGTACGACCTGTTTTTTTCTTGGCTCACTGGGGAGCACTTTGGTGCGGAGGAAGCCAGTTTTGGCTAGCAGTTGGAGCGGCCACCAATCGATGTGCTAATTACTGGGACTCTAGAATGCCTGAATTCCATTCCAGATCTCGACAAATCCAGATGCTTTTCGATGTTTGCACATCATTACAATTACCGGCTGGCCGAGTGTGTTTTATTTTAATGATCTATTTGCGAGTGCGGTTGAATAACACGTTAATTGGACGTGCACTTGACGATGTCCCGGAGACGGTACGGGTATGGGGTACGGAATCGGTGGCGGAATCGCAACCTTGACAAAGAAAATTTCCAATTAACGGAGCTTGCCAATTTGCCTACACTGGCCAAAAGGGGAAGAAGCAAGAGAGATGAAGAAAAAGTGGCACACTCAGATCGTTATTTGAAATTTATTAATATTCGTTAGGCCGACAATTATGGCATAATGGCCGAGGTAGTTAAGAAATTGGGACATTCCGCCGAAAAGAACTCAAATTCTGGCCAGTGCGCCTACTTGACTGCGTGATCGAGCTTATCGCAAATGGCAAATAAAACAAAATGAATGAAAATGAAAAAAAAAAAAAGAAAACACATTGATTGGCTTGATTATGCACAATAAATAAGAGCCGATGACTTGGGTGTTCACTTTTGTCAGCTTTCCATTCGTTTATGGTAAATTGCTGGGCGCTGCTGCTGATGTTGTTTTGCTGCCAATTAAATTAGAAATTGTCGTCCAGCCGAAAAAGTTTGTCGCTTTGCCCGCCCGCCAAACTGCATTTGCATAAAAAACTAAATCTTGGACACACAAAACGAAACATACAAATTATTATTGTGGTTGTGTTGCTGTTGCTGCTACTATGGTTGTTTTTGTTATTCGCAAACGCACGCGGTGTAAAAACTTTCGAATTTGAATCCGCTGGCTTTGGATCGTATCCGTGGGCTAGCTCTTCACAGGCGCGTAACGTGTTTTCAACTGAGCCCGAAGATCGCGGCTCAGCATGTTGGCCGCCGAAGCAACAACCACAAATCCAGCAGCAACATCATCACCCGCAACAACAATGCCAGCTTTAATGAATGAAAGCGCAATTTTTTCAGCTGTCTTTGTGCATGTGTCAGCCAAACAATGTGCAGTTTTTGTGCGACGGTAGCCACAATGCCAGTCCTTTCAGCTCGCACAAAAGACGAGCCAAACAAAAGCAAAGATCAGTCCAAACAAAAATAAAACATGTTTGAATTTTAAAAGGCGCGATTGCCGGCTAACGATAACAAGTGACAGTTTTCCAACACTGACTCTCTTTTAAATATTATTTTGGTATTAAGTTTCTTTTGAATATATTTTTATACATTATAGGATTTTTAAAACGTTAGAAATAAATATATTTAATATTATAAATGGATTCCATATTTAAAAAATAAAACTAATAGATTTCTATAAAATACCGAATATTTTTGAATTATTTTTTTTTTGTAGCACAGTCACACTGCTTCTGGCAACAACAATTTCGAGTCCGACCAGAAAATAATATAAAAAATATTGAAACTATGGCTGGGCGTGAAGCTGTGAAGCGGGCTGTGCAGCAGGTGCGTCCCATCCTGTCAGTGGACCGGGAGGAAGCCCGCAAGCGTGCCCTCAACCTTTACAAGGCCTGGTACCGCCAGATTCCCTACATCGGTGAGTTCTCCCCGTTATGTCATCAAACGGATACTCCTGACACTATATAAACATCTTTATACCCTTGCAGTCATGGACTACGACATTCCCATGACCGTGGAGCAGTGCCGGGACAAATTGCGCGAGGAGTTTGTAAAACACCGCAACGTGACCGACATTAGGGTGATCGATATGTTGGTCATCAAGGTAAGACATCAAAACATTGCTCGGTCTGGTAATATATTTTGATAATTCTTGCAGGGCCAAATGGAGCTCAAGGAGTCTGTGGAGATCTGGAAACAGAAGGGCCACATTATGCGCTACTGGAAGGAGTCGCAAGACCCCAAGCCCACGGATTTCCTCTCAAAATTCATTCAGGGCGTTAATTAGTTACAGAAATTGAAATAGTCTAAATAAAACCTCGTTTGAAATGTAAATACGAAACACGGATTGTGGCGCTTTTCAAACGCATAATAGTTTGCGGTTTATTGAGATTGTGACTTCAAAAATATCTTGTTTTGCCAATAGATACAAATAATATGTATTCTACAATTTGGTCTAAGTCTTCTGAGCAATGTAGTCGGTTTAAGTGAGGTGCAGTGTTCTGGTGATTTTCAATGTGGTGACAGTCTTCTAGCTCTCGTTAGCTATTGTTCATGCAGCTTTTTTTTGTGGTTAAGTCTACGGGTATTCGGATCGGTTATCAGTTCAGGGAATTAAGTCCAACAGCTTGTCGAGTGCAGTGGAATTGGTGAAGAGATCTGTGGTGATGTCGTCGTAGTCAACGCCCAGGCTCTTCAGTTCGGCGAAACAGTCGTCGGTAAAGTCTGGAATTTCCAGGGAGTTGTTTGACTTATTAAATGCATCGTGACGGTTGGTGTAGCCCTTTTTCTCTCGGAACATTTCAGCCAGCTGCTCATCGGTAAGCTCGATGCCATGCACCTTCTTGGAATGTTGGCGAATCCTGAAAAGCGATCATTAAAAACTTGTGTTTATCTTTAATAAAATGTGACTACTTACTTGCTTCGATCAGCAAACTCGCCAGTGCAATTCTGACACTTGTAAGGATATTCCATGTGCTCGTACTGGTGTTGACGCCACCGTGACCTGGAGGCCGCCTCAAAGTTGCAAACTTCGCAGCGCCACACCTGCTTCTGGTGACTCCTTTGTTCGTGCTCCCGCATTAGTGCAAAGTTCTGGAATTGGTTGCCGCAGGTAAGGCAGCTCACTTGTTCATCGTTCACATGGGCACGCTCATAGTGAACCCTCAGCTCTGCGGAGTTCACGTAGTTCAAGGAGCATTTGTCGCATTGAAAGTGGCGCTCCGAGTGTCTTTTTCGGTGCATAGCCAGAGTGTCGGCGCTCTTGAAGCTGCGATGGCAAACCTCACACTCGTGCAACGTTTCCACGGAATGGAGCTGCTGCAAGTGCAGCTCATACTTGCGAACGCTGCTGAACTGCTGCTCGCAGAAAGTGCAGTGGACAGGATCCTTCACCTGGCAGAAACGCTGGTGGCTGTGCAGGCTGGCCTTCTGGTTGAAGACCTTATCGCACACACTGCAGATGTACGACTCTGTGGGAACAACCACAACCTGTGTGGGAGTGTGCACTCTTGTGTAATGTTTTCGAGCCGAACGCTGATCTTTGAAGATACGCGCACAAGCTGGACAGTTCTGCTGGACGTAGCAGTACATTTCTGCAGGTGTACACAGAGTTAAGTCAATAATGCGGGCTTAGGGTCTAGATCGAAACCTACCAAAGTCACCATCTATTTTATGATGGTCGATGAGATGCCTCTGCATTTCATTCCTGTCTTTTGTCTCAAAACTATTGCAAGGACGGCACTTGAAACTTTGATCTGGAAGTAAAAACTCGTTAAATTAGGGAAAGTATATAATAGAATTAACCCACTCTTGTTCAACCCAATTATGTCATCTTCCGCCATGTATATTTTGTGAATACTTTTGTAGTGACTTCTTAGAAGTTTGGCATCCGTTTGGGTATATTGGCAAATTGTGCATTTAAGAATGGGTATGTTAGTGTTAATAATACCACTGGTCGGACTGCCCGTTGCCTCTGGCAGAGATTGGCTTTCGGAGGCTAAAAGAGAACAATTTATCCATAAATTTTACATCATTTTGTATTACCGGCTTACGTTTTGAGACCTTTTCCTTTTTTGTACTACTGTCATTATCGTCGAGTGTCATGTACGAAGCGCGTTGTATAAGTTCGCGCTCCACATCTGGCAGGAGATCCGATACTTTCCCGTTTTTGTTATTAAATGTATAATTGTTATTATTTTCGCCATTCCTGCTTTCTGCTGGAGTGGCTAAAACAGCGTTGTGTCTTCCGTTTTCGGATGTAATACTGCTCTCAAAGAAGGTTTCGCTGTTCTTGGCATCGGAGCCGTCGTTCTCATCTTCCTCCTCAAGATTGTTTGTGTCGTACTTGACATCGAATAGAATTACTTCGTCTTCTTTGGGTGTCCTTTTATTGGCCGAAGCATCTGCATCCAAACGCGGCACTTTGGCTCCCCGCATGTAGAGGACATTCTCCTCGATGGGACCCGTCGTCGCGCCCTCGTAGCTCTCCACAAACTGCTCGAACTCCTGACTGAATTGGTTCCAGTGCAACGATTCACTGCTAGCTTTACGCTTCAGCTCACCCGTGGGACTGGGGCTAGGTACCTTCACAGTCTTGGCTTCCGCGTACAGCTTGAGATTCGAGTCCAGAGCCATCTCCACAAAGTGCATAGCCACCTCCAGGGCGCGACAGCAGCGAACACAGATCTGCTTTGGCCATAAGTAGCCGCCGGGGCTCATAATCTGCATGTCCATGTTGGTGCACTGCTTCAGGCTTTGCCCATAGGTTCGAGATTTTTGCAAATTCGGTACCGCAGCGTCCAGAGCGACGGTTTTCCGGTTCACCGAGAGGCACGCCCGGCACTTTGCCGCATTGGCCTTGTTCATAGTAGCCAGTGAAGCCTCCGCAACAACTGTTGGGGCATCCATGGTTATCTTCTCTGTTTAATTCTTCCCAGCAGATAGTTCTTCTTTTGTTTGGATCAGAAGAGATTTCGCTCAAACAATGTGTATTTTTTGCGCCGCTCTTTACTTGAGGTGAAATCAGTGTGACCGTGCGGTAGTTCTCAAAGAATACGTTTCGGAATCTGTTTGGTTATACACTTCCCGTGGGCGGACAGCAACTCTCCTGAACGGACAGATATTTTATCATAGTTCACTAAGATTTTAGACTGTTATTTCTTTCTGTCAGTCTGTCTGAAATCTGTTTCGTTCCTAGAGGTCAAATTCTGTAAATTGAAATGAAAGAATGCCACCACGCAGAGCCGTTGGACCACGGATGTTGTTAACCGTAGAGAAGAAAATCGAGCTGATAGAGACCCAGGAACGGGAACAGCTTAGCGTAAGAGACCTGGCGAAAAGGTAAAGTATTCTTTGTCCTTTTATTGTTCAAAGCTTGCTCCAACCTCCTGTGCCTGCAGATTCAATATTGGAAAGACACAGGCCTCTAAAATCATTCAAAATAAAGAAGCCATCCGACTGGAATTGAGGAGCGGAATGATACGAAGGACCCAAATACGGCGAAATCCCCTGACCCAGCAGGGATCTCACATTGACGAAATGTGCTTCGAATGGTTCTCCATGGCCCGGAGCGAAGGAATGCAACTGAACGGCGAGAAAGTCCGCGAAAAAGCCAGAGAGCTGGCCGAGGAAGCTGGGTACTCCGGGTTTACAGCCTCCGCCGGATGGCTGCAGAAGTGGCAGAAACGCCACAACATATCGTTCAACCCGCTTGACGACAGTCTAGCTATGCCGCAATTCGAGGCGGTTCTAGTGAAAAGTGAACCCATATTGCCGGACGATGACTGCTCCGCCACAAGTGTAATCCGCCCCATATACAACATCGACGAGGCTATGATGCAGCTGTCCCGCCTGAAGGAATTTGCCAAAGATGACTACATATCGTACCAACAACTGCTGAGTCTGGAGAATCAATGGAACTGGAAGTGGAACACCATGAAGAAGAAAGTTCCCTGACCTCCATAATATTTCTCATTTGTTTCTGAGCCAAAGTAGATTAATTTGTAGGATACTTTATTGAAAAACCATATATAATTGTAAAATAAATAAATACACATGCATCTGGAGTAACTAACTTAAGTTTCAAAATAAAAAGTTAAGAAACTCGTAGACCAATTATATGGAATTACACACCTATTAAGGACTTTTATTGCTTGCAAATGTACAAAAAAAAAAACAGGGATCGCTGAAGCAATTGCTGCTTTGCAATACAATTTTTGGTGCTTAAACTCTACGGAGCTGTTTCTCTTTGGCCAAAGCAGAGCCAGCTGGTGGAGATTGCCTTAATCATCGTCACGTTGTTTCAAAATATATAATTACAATTAAGGCTTTTATATAAATTACATATTGCCACTGAGGCGTATCCTAGTTTAGAATGGTACTACCAATACTTGTCATACACAAGGCTGTCGATTCACATTTTTCGACATTGTTGTCTATATTTGGGCGCAATGGCCGATCTAGATTAAGGTATGCATTCTTAGTCTAGCACTTAGTTGGGATAATTTCATGACATTATATGCGCAGCTTTGTGAGGAAGGGTACTTAGGCTATATACTAAACTATGTACAATGTGCGATGTTTGCCTTTACTAGCAGGTGTATGAGTCTGATCTAATATTATATATCCTCTGCAGATGATTGAAGACCCGGTTCTTCTTTGACTTCAGTTTTGATATCCAATCCTTTGCGCCGCACTAGCTGTCCCTGGCGGCTCCTCGACTTTAATTCATGCGTGCCATTCGAGCTGGCCTTAAAGATTTCGGCTAATTCCGCCTCTGTTGCTTTGATTTTATGAACTTTCAGAATATGTGAACAAATCCTACAGAAATAAAAGAGAAAGCCTTAAAAAACAGCTCAGATCTACAAAAGAAGTTGCAACACCTACCGTCCCCGACGTAAATATTGTCGATCACAATGTGGACACTTATACAGTGTTCCACTTTTGTGTACGGACATGTGGTTCCGCAGTAGTAGACTGGTCATCATCTCCTTGTCGCATATGGTGCACACGTGCCGCGTCTGCAAGTGGGTCGCATTCTGATGCCGCACCATGTGGTGCTTGTATGCGAACGTCTTGTTGCAGTTGTTCAACGTGCACCGGAACGTCTTCGGTCTCATATGCTTGGCCTTCGAGTGACGATCCAGCTCCTGGTTGGTTGCGAAAGACTTTGGGCATAGCTTGCACTGAATCTTGCGATTTGTGTGCCGTTTCATGTGAAACTTCAACAAAGTCAGATTGCGGTAGCTGGTGTTGCAAATAGTGCACTTGTGTTGATAGTTATACCGATTAGATTCCGTACTCGAGTGCACCATCTCGTGCTTAACCAGCTTTCCCAGCTCGTCGAATGTCTCGCTGCACAACTTGCACTTGTATGATGGGGTGCGTGGGAGTCGGGAATTGGATGGTACATATTTCTCTGCTTGGGGCAGACTTGACAGAAACTTATCACTGCCATTTAAAAGTGCGCTGGGATTAGAGTTTGTAGTGGGCGTGGGTGTGGTTTGCTCGACTGGGACATCGGATATCAGGTCACAGTCCAAGTCGAATGGCGTGGGCGTGGGGTAAAGTGTCGAGAAGGATGCCGATGTGGATGAGGCTGTGGTTGTAATGGGCGATGTTGATGTTTTTACTGCGGTTCCAGGATTGGCTGCCGTTGCTGATGATATGCCGGCTGTTGGGGCAGCGGAGGTCCCGAATGAAACGACATCGAATTCCTCTTTGGGTTGTATTAATTCCGCTTTAATTGATGCTCCTTCTCCTGTTGGGTCTCCATCATCTTTGCCTGTCCCCTCTGGTGAGAACAACAATAATCAAGGATCATTGTTCGTCATCGAACAATAGTTTTAGTTTATCAATCGGTGGATTCGTGCGCACACGTTGGGCATATTGGGAATTGGAATTTGAGTTCAATCTTGCAAGGCTATACACGCTCTTACCGCATTCCCCATTGCCACCGCCACCGCCACTTTTAGCAGCAGTCGACGATACTGTCATCCTATCTCCATCCTGAGTGCTGCTGGCCGGCCCGGATGTGGTCGCCGTGGCCGTCGTTGTTGTGGTTGTGGCTGCCGAACTGGCTGTTGCTTGTGATGATGGCATCTCGATGATCGTCTCCACCAAATGGCTTCGCTGCAGATGACGAATCAGGGTGCTCTTGGCCGCAAACGAGCGAATGCATCGCGGGCACTCAAAGGGCAGTTCTGGAAATAGATTTTAATTTATTAAATGCCATGCCATGCAGATGTTAATGGTTTTAATGGGATTCAAAGCCATGCAATGAGGGTATAAAATGCACCTTTAATGCCAACATGTACTTACTGCGTATGATAAACACTTCGTTTGCATGAACGGATACTAAAAAGAGGAAAAGAATACGATTTTTTAAGAAAGATTCTTTATCAATTATAGTTTTTTTTTGTTACCTCCATCGTTGATGCCGTGGTGGGCATTTAAATGCTTTCGCATCTCTCCCTCCGGCTCACACTCGAACGGACACTTTGCACACATGAGCATCGGATCTGAAGGTAGACTAGAGTTAGACAAGAATTCCCAAAACCTAAAACCTCTTTGAAACCCACTCTTGTTGAAGTTAGTTTCGATCTTTTCAAGGCTCGATCGTGCCACCGTAACCTTGTCACCTTTGGCTTGGACCATATCCCTTGTGGGCATTCGCTTGTGAACGGTTTTGTAGTGTCTGATCAGGAGTCGCTTCATGTTGTAGAGATTGGTGCACAACTCGCAGCGATAGGGAGCCAGACCTTCAAACACAAAGCATATAAGTAACTTCAGTTAACCGGGAAAAGGATCAACAACCTACCCCGATGAACAAACATGTGATTCTCAAATTTGTACTGGCTGGTGAATTTTTTGTTGCAATAAATACAATAAGGCTTCTGAAGATGCTTCGATTGCTCATCATCGAAATCGTCGACATCGTCATCGTCACTGGTTAGCAGCAGATTCTGATCAGTGGCTGCATCATTATTTTCGTTCTCGTCCTCGTTGTCACCTTCATCGTCCTCCTCCTCGGCCGCCACCTCCTCGTCTTCTTCAAAGTCCTCGAACAGATTTTCGGCATCAAAGTCCAGGCTGATATTGTTATTATCAATGACGATGTCGTCGCCATCTACCACTGGCATATCATCGGCTGGAATGGTGCATATGGCAGCCACGTCGGTGTTGTCAATAAAATCCTGCATGTCACCGAACATGGAAATATTTAGATTGGAAGTATTTGCCGGCGCCTGCGGTACGGTTTCGTTAGCCGACAAATTGCCTTGGGAGATTTCTGGAAAGATTTCGAATGAACTGCATGGAGCCCCGTCAGTGGTTACGGCAACTTCTTGTACTGGTGGCGCATGAACTGCGTTAATGGAATTGGAAGTGGCCGCAAAGATGACCTCGGTTTGGGCAACGGATGTCGTTGCCTCTACCGGCAGCTGCTGAAATTGCCCCGGTTGTGTGTCTGCAACTGCAGGAGGACCTGCAAATAGTTGCATTAAATAAATACAAGAAAAAAATAAATAATAATACAACTCAAGGGGCTTATAAACGGTTAAGTTACAACAAAAATTTTGGTTAGTGTGCAAAAAAAAAAATGTAAGAAACACAAATAATTGACATAATCCTGTTCACGTCCTTACCGAAAGCCACAATTTGTGATCACAATCCCTCCGTTTGCAGCAGTAAGCGCTCTTATCAACAAAATTGAAGGCATAGCTTAAGATCTTTTGTGATTTCTTAAAAATTTCAAAGCCCCAGGACCCTCTACCCAGGCTTTATAAAGTCGAAAAGTCAAGAAACACTAAATGCAATTGTGATTTACTAATAGAAAGTATAAATGCTAGGATTTTTAATACATAAATCATGTGTGGCAGCAGCAACATGGACAATTTTCAAATATATATGTTTCTCTTTAAACTATTTACTAATTTATTTACATCATGTTCCTTACATCCTTTATAAAATGCAGACTTTTAAGGTCGGTAGAAAGGGTTGCTAGAAAATGTAAGCCGAATGAATTGTACAAAAAAAAAAAAGCCAAGAACAAAAAACTGGATAAAATCAATTAAAATGAAAAAAATAATAAAAAAAAAAATGTAAACACTAAATAAAACTGAAATGGAATTGTGATCACAATAGAAAAAGAAAGAATCTTAACATATTCAGTTAAAAAACTTTCATTCATAAAAAAAAGCCAAAAAAATAAACAAATTGTTGATCAAAAGATACAAATAAAAACAATTGTCACCAATTAAAGCACAAGATAACGTTCATTTGCGACTTATTTCCTAACGCTCCGAAATACCGCATAATGACGACCGAACCAGCATAAGCGCCCTGGTTATTACTTTCTCAAGACTCACATTTGATGGGTACGTGGTTTTCGGAAGAGTTTGTCAATGGCGGTAGAGTTGCCGGCGGCTTTTCGTCTACAGGAGCATCTTTGACAGCATTACTATTATCGGCCGTCCAGCTGGGACGTAGCTCCACATCCGTCGGCTGAACCGTATGACTCTGTGCGTAGTGGACACGCAGTTCGTTGACTGTACTCGTCTCATAGAGGCACATGTCGCAAGAGTATGTGCGAACCTCCTGTTTCAAACCGTCCGTTTTCTCCGCAACACCCTCCGCCCGGTGGTGTTGGTTCTGATAGTGCTGGATGAGATCGGCGCTGCGCAGTGAGTAGTATTCGCACTGATCGCAGAAAAACTTCGGCAAATCTGTTCAGAGATAAAACAAAACATGTTAGTCATTGTGGATGCTTAAATATGTGCATCGGCATTTTTGGGTTCAACTAACGGCTGTGCGTCAACTGATGAGACTTTAGACGTGCCAAAGTGGCGAATGTTTTGGGGCACAATTTGCATTTGTGTTTGTGCACTGGAGATCCAAGCGGCGCTGGCTTTGGCGTTACTAAAATCGCAAAAACGAAAAGTCATGTAATGGTTCGTGCCGTATGGTCTCATCTTACCTTTTATTTGCGGAAGTGCATCTTCCACAATCAGCTCATTGACATCAATATCCATCCCATCGTCGCCACCCCCAAGAAGATTCTGCAGGTTTATGTTGATGGAAGGGGGATGGGGATTAACATTTGGGGGCTTGCTATCGTCAATATACTCAATGACCACGCCTAAGAATGATGATAAATTAAGAAAACAGACACATGTTGAAACATTCAGATGAAACGCACCGCCTCCGTTGACCTGCTGCAGCGATCCATCTGGCAAGACAAGATACTCGGTGCCGATGCTCACGTTTTGGGTATCCATGGGCGGTAATGTGGAGGTTAGAGTGTCCACCCCCGGCGCAGCCTCGCCCATTGTGGCCGCCAGCTGCTGTTCAATATCTCGCAACTGGTCCGCATCGATCGGCACCGCTGAGTAGTCCTCCGGCGTTAGTACCGTGGGTATCAAAAGCTCCATATCCTCCATTGTGCACACCTTTACCTCATCTTCCTTTTTTATTGGCTCAAGCTTCACTTTGGAAAGCTCCTCGGCCTGGGTAGCGTTTTGGTTGTGAGTTGAACGATAGTGATCGTGCAACAGACGCTGCTTTAGCGTTGTAAAGCTGCACATCTTGCAGTGATAAGCGAGTCCATCTAATAGAAATAGGGGTACCATGTTATACCATTATTGACTTTAACCCTTTTTTGATGAAACACATACCTGCATGGAGGCGGATGTGCTGCTTGAGCTCGAGGCGATTGTAAACGATGACCCCACACACCTGGCACTCGTGGCGCATTGTTTTCAATGGCTTCGTCCTCTCAGTATCGCTCTAAAAATAAAAGTAAACAATAAGGCATTTCATGGGGGATGGTAATCTCCCCCTCCCACTTTTTTTTATACAAACCTCCAAATGTTGTTCCAGCTCCTGGCCTAGGGAACCGTTGACCCGAGTTTTGAAAGCCTTATACGGACACAATTTGCGACAGAGGAATTCATGCGCGCGAACTGCGTTCTGGAGGAAGTAGTAGGCTACCTGGAGGCTCTGACTGCATTCGATGCAGATGTACTGGGGAAGCTCGGCCGGGTTTTCACTGCGTGTACAGTACAGCAGGCAACGCATTAGCGGAATCTTATCCTTTGCCTCCGCCGGGTTCAGACTGCTAGCCACCGTCACAGAGTCCAGCTTAAGGAACTCGGTGTTCATCTTCAGACAGCAGCGACACGCAAACTTGAAGTCCGCTCCGTCCGCTTGGGAGCTCAACCTTTTGTTCAACGCCATCTCTCACATAAGTTGGCCGCGTATCATTTGATGGCGTCTGCCTGTTAGGGGTATCTATAAAGCGATTTGCGAGTTGCGGCGGCCAATGGGGGCACTATTCTGTTTGGGATTGGGTTGTTTTTCTCCACTTTCGCATAAAGCCTCAAACTAATAGCGCGTTACCTGCACTGTATGCGTGTGTATGTGTGGAAAAAAATGTGACCGCATTGGTTGTGCAAAAAATGCCGAAACTGACTATCGATAACCGATGACAGGGCGGGTCGTTAAATTTACCATCTAATTAATGGCACTTAATTACAAAAAGTAACCAAAAACTTTATAAACAGTAATAAACAAAGGATAAATAAATAAATTTCTTATATATTTATCGTTAATAATTCATTTGCATCGGTAAATTCAATAAACACTTAAATACTTTATATATATATACAGTAAAAATTAGTTTTAAAAAAAAAGATGTGTAGGATCATCAATATCCTCTTGATCTTCATCCTCAACGGAATTTCTGTCTGATCTTTCCTCAATTTCTTTTGAGCTATATCTTTTCAAGGTCGGTTCTTTTTTGTGAACTTTCCTTATGTGGCTCCTCAAGGTGTAGTTCTCCCAAAACTTCCGGTTACAGTAGGTACAGCCTAACTTTGGGGGTTCGTGCTTCCTCCGATGAACGGCCAATGCGGAGCTGGTCTTACAACTCTGGCCGCATACATCGCATATGTAATTACGCAGGCCACTATGCATAATCTGGTGCTGTTGGAAATCCCACTTTGATGGGGCATTGTACTCGCACTGATGGCACTGCCAATTCAATGTTTTCAGGTGGTATCGTTCCTGATGCTGACGCAGCTTGGATGCGATCGGAAAGCCTTTCTGGCATATTAAACAGACGTTCGGATTGGGCCCTGCATGCAACCGGAATTTATGCAATTGCAGCTGATGCTCGCTTAGAAACTGCCGATTGCAATCCTCGCAAATGTTTATCGAATCGTCCTTTGTAATAAAATTAAATTCAGAATATTGAATAAAGGTTACAAATTAAAACGTTTTCTTAAAACCTACTTGTTTGTCAAATTCTGAGTAATTGAAATATTCTTGTTCTGATTCATTGAACTCGTCCTCTTCTATTAAATACTCAACATTGGTGAACTCTTCTTGTTCATCGTCACCATGTCTAGCTTGTAGGGCATCTGCCATTCCCGACTCCTTGAGGTTTGCCAGTTCCACCTGGACTTCATCCTCGATTTCGTCATCGTTTACCTTCCTGGCACTTGTATGATGACTGGAAAGATGCTCCACGAAAGCCTCCCATTGATTTCCAGAAAAGGTGCTTGTACTACAGAGACAGCACTTAATCAATAGTGTAGAGGAGCCATCAGGATTAAGGTACACCCGACCACTTTCCACATAGCCACCCATAAAATATTGTAAACAGAGAACCAAAAAATTGTAAACAAATGAAATTAGTGGTTGCCAAAAATGCGCGCAAATATCGATAGGTAATTATGTTATTTATTTCAACAATAATAATACAATTTATTATTTTAAATGTTTATTATTTTAAGATATATGTATGCCATTTAAATATTCAAGTTTTATTCAATGAAATTAGTAATTATTTATTATAATATTTAATGGGTTAATAACCGATATTAACCGATATACCAAGTTGCACCACCCCTTATCGCTATCGTTTCTTATTTTGCAGTTTTAATTTGCAAAACAAAACTCTGACAAGCAAATGAAATGCGCAGCGATTTTCCGCCTTTGGCCATCCGGATTTGGATGCACAAGCTGAAAAAGGGCGTGGCCCTGCCTGCGGCCACCCTAGAAAAGTGCTTGTTAAATAAAATGAGCTCAGGTATGTGGTGAAAGCGAATCCAATTCGACAAACTTTCAAAGATCCAATTCGTTTTTAGATGCAGCTAGCTTGTCGGTGGCAAATGCATGTGAAAGGGGCATCCTCGTGCCACGAACTGAAGGCACCCGGAGCAAACGTGTCAGCCTCGCCTTTTGCCAGAAACTAAGCTCCCTGACGATACCTGCAAATGATCCATACTGCTATGAGTGCCATTTGCCCGGTGACTTAAAGGAATGTCCGGCATGCATACGGACCTTTCACGAGAGTTGCCGGCGCAAAGATCCCGAAAAGCCCAACTACTGTGTACCCTCGGACAAAGGGCAGCCGTACAGGCTACCGCAAAACGAATCCGACGAAGAAGATGAGAATCCGACTGAGGATTTTCCTCAAACACCGACTCCGGAGCCACTATTGGACCACAATAGTAACATCAATGAGGGGCATGTGACTTCGGACACTCCGGCATTTCTTAAGCACGAAAGCTTGGAATGGGACGATGATGTTTTCTTTGTAAGTGAGCGCAAAGGATCTCGCCAACGAAAACAGGCAAACGTCAAGGACGAACATCAGACAAACTTGGATAGTGATACTAGTAGTGAGCTGGAATATTGCACCCGCTGCCGTCTACTCAAGATGGCCTCTCTTCACAATCCTCCGCAGTTGGATAAACAGGAGTTAGCAAGCCTTCTGAAATATTCTTGGGGAACGCACCACTCCTGGCTGGACAGAGACGTGTCCAAATATATGGCGAAGAACTGGAACGATCGTGATAGAGCGCTGGTCAAGCGCATTCTTTTTAAGACTAAGATACTTGGGGTGGCGGACATCGAGCGGAATATAGCGTCGAAAAAGTATATATACTTGACAGAGTTCCTTGTGGATCTCCTTGATCTGCAACATAATATTGCCGTTTTCTATGGTCCCAAGAGCGTAGAATACACTGCGACAAAGTGGCTCTTACGAGACGTAACGCATGACATCCGGGAGATCCGTAAATGCCCCGACTGCTTTCGATATTCCAATGAGGCCAATTTATCAAGCCTTTGGTTTGCAAAGCCTTGTCTCCAGCGCCATGAGCTGGTATTCGCCAAACAGGCAGGGTCACCACCCTGGCCCGCCAAGGTAGTAGTCTTCTTTAAACTGTTTTAAGTGTTCCAGCTAATTGAATATTGCATTCCAGGTTATCAGTGTTTCCAGAAGGAAGCCAATTAAGTATGATGTAAGGTTTTTCGGAGGCTCTCACTCGAGGGCCCTTATCTCTGAACGTGATATCATTCCCATCGAGTCGGACATACAGTCGCACTTTAAACCTAAAAACTCCAAGGCTTTGAATGCTGCACTGAGGGAACTTCAGTGCCACATGATATTGTCCCACTACTCTGCATCGCAATTTGGTTTCTATGCTGATCCGAAAATAGCCGAGAATCTCATACAAGTGGCCTTGTCTCACTGTAACGAGTCCTCCGAAACTCCACAATCGACAAAGAAACGAAAACTAAACTCCACTAGCTCCAATTCTCCCGTGCCCAAGCGTATCTTGCCGGTACGTCGCTGCTCGATTGCATTTCGAAGTGAAGCATTACAGGAGACCGGGTCTAGCTATGCTGACAGCGTCATCTACCAGAATCTGGCGTCTGAAATAATTCAGGCAAATGAAGAGTTGGTAAAGTGTCAAGGTGAATTAGCCGTCATGCGTCAGAAACTAGAAGCGGTAAAGAGGAAGCGCTGGTGCTATCTTTGTCTGAAGGAAGCAGCCTTTGATTGTTGTTTCACTGCGTCCTACTGCAGTGGTGAGTGCCAGCGACGGGATAAGCGACGACACCAGGCAACTTGTAAAGTCAATCAATAAAACCATATTTACGTTAAATATCTGTATTTGTTGGCTAATTGTGGAAAATTTCCTGGAGAGCACAGAATGGCCCACTGCGATGCCTATATCTCTGCCAATAATCATCAGATTCTTGATGGGATTGCCTTAATCGATTTGTGGATCGATTCTCCTTCAATCTGCATCAAAATCTAGGGACAAATTATTTTTTAGATTTTTTGTCAAATTTTCTGGGTAATCCCCTTCAAAATGTGGAAAATGCATGGGAAGCCCAGTATGGCCCACTGCGATAGCTATATCTCTGTCAATAATCATCCGATCCGTTAGGGGAATGCCTTAATCGATTTGTGGATCGATAAACCTTCAATCTGCATCAAAATCTAGGGACAAATTATTTTTTAGATTTTTTGTCAAATTTTCTGGGTAGACCCCTTCAAAATGTGGAAAATGCATGGGGAGCCCAGTATGGCCCACCGCGATAGCTTTATCTTTGGCCATATTTATTAGATTCTTTAGCGGATGGATTAAACGAATTAGCGTAGATTTCTAATAGCTTTGCCAATTTTGTATAAAATTTAGTTAAATGTTTGTAAGTGGCAAGTTTTGCTAGAAATTTAAGAAAAGATTACATTACCTTTTACGAGAAACTACGTTCACTTAGGCTCTCTGATAAACGTGTTGACCCGCAGACCCAAGCTATAAAACTGCGGCAAAAAAGGTCAAGCGAAAGGTCAAATCGAATTGCCGAAACGCTGAAAAAGGGTTCAATGCAATTTACGAGTGCAGGCGAGCATGTGAATGCAGCCGAGATTGAAATGCGGGGAACGGTATTTTATGAATGCAGGCCGGCGGCAGCGACCGTTAAAAGGCATCCCAAAATAATTGATTTATGCCGAGCTGAGTCGACGATTTTGGTGGCTAGTGGCTGGCTGGGGTTCCCCCCGAAAATGGAAATGGCCAAAAGTGTTGGCACCTCGGCTAGAGCAAGGTGCCGAGGCACACAGAAATAGATAGAAACACATTGCTGTAATAAATATTTCACTTAGGGGCCAAAAGCAGTAACAACATCCAGCACACGATTAACGAATAACCCGGGTTTCAGGTTTCAGACCAACAACCCGAAACCCGGCTGACCCCCCCCCCACCAAAGTCGGAAGTCACGTTTAAACGTTTTCGCTAAAAGTTTCACACAGCGGATGATTGATGATGAGCCACACTAACAGATACAGATACTCACGCACACACCGCGCGTGTACCGCTATTACTTACTTACCAACATATGTATGTATGTAGGTACATGTTCCGAATATATGGTCATTACGGGTCTGGCCGTGTTTATCTTGGGCTGGCTTTAATGCACTTTCGCATATGAAATAGTAAATCATTTTTGGGATATGACTTGCCATGCCACTTAATTAAGCCCAAAGGGGAGGGTCTGAATCAATAACATCTCCCTCCTAGCATCTCCCATTTAGTGCCAGTCATTATTGTTTGTGGGCTAAAATATTTGGTCAACACACTGTGTCTGTGGCTGGGAAACTTTTGCATTTTGCAATCAAAATCTCAGTCACTCGATTGTCAATATTTGGGGAAAAATTTCACAAAAGAACCGGAAGAGCAGCAGCCGACGAATTCCTACGGCAATTAAGAATATTCTCTGTCATTTTTGCCAAAATAAACATTTTTGGGCTCTTCATGTGTTTTTCCCCGACTGGCTGTCTGTCTGTCGTCTGTTTACATTTCGAATTGAGTTTTAATTATGTGCACACTGGAGACAGGACTTGTACACTTCCGACTTTCTATTAAAATCTTCACGACATGGCTGAATATTTTTCATCAGGCTGTAATCAAATTAGTCTCTTGCTAATTTAAGCTACACTAATTTGTCTGTGTCACGAAAATTTTCTTCTTGCTTATCTCTCACCTACCAGGTTGTCAAAAGCCAGGAGCTTCAAGGACTCTGCGACTCGCTGCTGGAGCATTGTGACAGGCTGGAAGGATTTATTGGCTAGACGTTGCCTGCCTACAAGTGCCAGGATACTTTTAATTAATTCCAGGGCGCAAAGCAAAAAGCTGTCAGATACAGTGCCATTAAACTAGCTATCAAAATTAGGTAATATGTATATTACTTTAATAATTGAGGCATTTAAATAATGCTTTAGTTATCCAATAATCTATAATCTTTATGGACTATCTGGTTGAAAATGTACTTCAAATTATTCAGTACCTTTTGAGAATTTGCCACAATGAGACTGATTTTTTGGACCTGCCTGCTATTCCTCGGGTCCTGTCAAGGATATGTCCGCTTCACCAACCTAAAATGCGAGAGCTTGGACGAGGAGTTCATACTCTTTCCCACCTGCCGTCTAAATGTCGTCGGAAGGGGCATCATAGCTGCCAATGTCTATGCGAAGCTTCTGAAACTGCCCATAACCAGAATGGTGATGAGATTCAACATGTATCGCAAGTTGAATGGCTATCATCCGTTTCTGTTCAATGTATCCCATGAAATATGCCACTTTATGAAGTATCCGAATCGCAAGCAGGTCTTCTACTATTTTCATAGGGCATTTATGTCTTCCTCCAACCTGGATCACACCTGTCCCTATAATGTGAGTAATATTTTGGGATTTGTATTCCTAAGTAATTATTTTTTGCAGCATGATGTTATTGTGAGGAACTGCTCTTTGGAGGATAAGATGTTTAAAATGGTTCCGTTGCCCCAAGGAAGTTATAAACTGACTCTCGAAATGGACAATGGAGCTTTCAAATGGGTTGCCATTGTCACCATGTATCTGGATATTAATGTGGATAAAGAGGATTGAGTTCAACTTGTTCAGAATATTATGTTTATCCTGTAGTGTCTAATATATTGTCCTTTGGTGTAAAAATTGTACTATATATGCACAAATATAAGTATATATTTCTTTCCTTCCATTTCTGGCCATCTGCTGTCAGCTTAAGCTTCACTGAAGCTTGTCGACGGCTTTCAGGACTTTAGCCTTTTCTTGAACTTGACCATTGCCAAGAGGCTAGGATATGGGGCCACCCACTCGATGCCTTTCCTGCAACAGATGTCGAAGTGTTCAGAATTAAATCTGGTTTCTGACGTCAAAAAAAAAAAAAAAAAACCAAACATGGAATGCAATTTCAGCCGCCAACATGTGGAAAATGCTGTAGCTTGTAAATTTTTTTTGGCATGCGACAAATATTTCCCACAGAAGGGGAGCCAGGACATTAATTTATTGCCGGCGACAAGTGCAACAGCACGCTTCACTGCAATGTGCAACATGCAACACCAACCGAATCAGGCCCATTCCATTTCAACAGCCTCCCCGGAGATGACACATAATGAGTCTATTATGGCAGATAATGGTACCCTTCGAGAATTTAGATGAAAAGCCGCAATTTGTGGCAGTGTTTAGGGTTCGTAAAGTCGGATAATGTTTGGGATTAAATATGTGCCTTCAGAAGTGGCTTCGCATTGGAATATGCGTCATTTGTGGGTGGGGGGTAACCTTACATAACCGTAACGAACATGAAAATGAGTCGCAATCTGGGTGAGTGCCACTGCCCCACCCGAAAAAGCCAAAACTTCTGATCCGCCATCAGTGAGTCAGCTCTGGGTCTCTTGTGAATATTTTTTTTTTTTTTGTTTAAGAACATTATATGCCAAATTTCGAAGAACACCACGCTCAAGTGTCATTGACCAAAAGTTTTGTGTCTCAAGAGTGGTCGTAAACTATCGCAAACATTTCATAAAACCACTTAAGATATTTACTAATGTTCTACTAATTACTAATGTTACTAATTCCTGGTTCTGTGAACTTTAACACGAAAGATATTGTTAAATAAATTTCTTGAAATACGTAAATTAGATGTCATCACTCTCAAATGCCTTAACTTTTCTTTTATTAACTGGCTAATACGAGATGACTTATCATTTATCTGTCAAGAAAACTTAAAAACCAGAGACATATCCATTTCCTACTTTATTTTTCCCCCTCGAACCGGAGCTACTTTGGCTTTCGAATTTCTTTTAAAACCAATTATCAAATCATGTCGCTGCCGGCTGACAAACTCATTTATTTAGCTTGCTGCACTCAAAACGGCGACAGGCCCACATACATCATACTTGCACTTGGTGGAGTCTGGAAACCTCCACATCCACATCCACATCCACATCCTCATCCCAGTTCATGTCCATTTCCTCACTCCTTAAATGTAGCCTAATTTTGCTTTCATTTTTACATGTTTCTGGCTTTGAGATACACAAATAAAAAATATTTTCCAAAAATATAAGTACTTTTCTTTAGAGTCTTTAAAGACTTGAATAATTTTTTTCTTTGTGTCTGAATAAATGTTAGTTTTCTAAACTAAGACTGCCCTTTCCAGAGACCACAAGACCACGACCAAGACCGAGACCTAGTTTCCATATCCCCATCCGCATCCAAAAAGTGTCAGACTGTCACCGAGGCCTGAAATTGTCATTATTCAGTGTCTATTCCCTCGTTTACAGGTTATTGTTGGAAATTAAAATTATATGGGGGTGGGAGGCCTCTGAATTTCCAACTAATTTTTATGTGTGACAATTAAGTGTTTTTTTTTTTTTTTTTTTGTAAATTTTCCTAAGGTTTTCTTTCTCAGTCACGAGTTGCAATGCCCACATCGACGTGCAACTGGTTTGTTTGTTGTTGATTTTTTTGTCATGAATTTTCAATTGATTTATTTTGGTTTTCTGCTAGTATTTTCCATATTCTCGCCAATTCGTTGGCGCTCAAAATACATCAGCATAAATCACTGGCGGATCTCTGGTAAGCGCCACAAAAAGCGCCAACAGTGGATACGGAGGGGAAAAAAAAAACCAGCGACATATTAAATTTACAAGTTGATTTTGATTTATGTGCAATAAGCATACGGACAGACACACAGTTGTACAAACTCGGTTTTGTTGTTGCTGACGGCGTCTGCAGACGATAACTTAATTTAACCTGGCTCCTTCTTGTTGTCACTTATTTTTTATTTTTGTATTTTTTTTTTTTATTCATTTCTCGATTTGGTGCTTGCGCCGCCTGTCGCTGGCAATTAAGCTGGGAAATCGCGAGCGGTTTTTGGATCCGCCTCTAAAAAGCATTAAGGTGGGGTCGCAACGATCCAGACCAGCCCCGATTTATTTGATTGTTGTAAAAAGTTATAGTATTTCTAATGCTTTTTATTGTCAAGTACATATCAGTGTACAAATTGTCTCTGATTTTTTAATGGCTCTATAAAATAGTGATACTCGAAGACAATATTTATAGGAGTTATTATTGTGATTCATGAGAATTTATTGTTTAATCTTAATAGGTTAATTTTCTATATTATCAAATGTGTAATTATTGTTATTATTATAAATTTGTGGTCCAAGTAATACAACTAAGCAAACAATTTAGGGATTTCCTAATTTAAAAAACCCCACACACTTAATTTAAATGCACACAGATTTAATTTGCTAGAGCACATTTTCGTGTCAGCATCTAAAAGCTTTGAATGGGGACTCACATCTCGGCATCTGCCCCACCACAAAAACCATCCCCACCTCCCCACTGATTTGGCCCCCTCCGTCCTGTACTCCTGACAGCTTGTGGGCGTTTTTAGCCCCACAGAAGTTGCTCCTCCGCCTGTCGCCTCAACTTCAAACTAACAGAACAAATACCGAGAGATACAGATACAGATAGACGGCAGCTCGTATTAATTAAAACTGAAAATTGCAGTTTCGCATTGCAGGGAATTAAGCCCCATCACACTACACCGTCAGCCCGACATCCAACAGCCAAAAGCCTCTTGGCTTCAGGCGTTTTTTAAAAACCTGCAATTAGCGGGGAATATCTCTGGGCCGGGTAATTTGATAAGTCCTCGAAACTTGACCCACTTTTTGGGGATACGCTAATGAAGTCCATCCGAGAGGGAATTTTTATTTCACTTCTTTCACAGCCACCACCTCCCACCTTAGTCCTCGGGCCCCTTTCACCCCCCACTCCTGGGCATTGATTGCCTGCCGTCGTTTATTTTTACGACGCTTTCGTTTAAGCACTGGCATTTAATGTGAAATTTATCATTTCGCTGCCACGCCCCCACCTCTCGACAAATTGTCGGCCTTGGACAGATTTTTTATTGCATTAACAATTCACGCCGGCGAAAACTGATATTTTCATTTTTCAACTTTTTAAAGTTCGGGGGGCGCCGATGAAAGCTTGGGGACTCTGGTTGCAAAAAGAGAGTTCCTTTCGGTGAAGGACTCTTTTTTTTTAGCAGCAACTTTCAACCGCAGCCTGTCTGCATGGCAGTTGCCAGGGGGGTGGTAATCAAAAGGAAACCAGGAAAAATTAAATTCACAGGAGTTTTCAGTCGAATGATCGAAAAAGTTTTTTTGACGTGTTGGTGTATCAAAGGAAAGCACGGAAAACTCCCATGTGTTTAGAGTTGAGTACGCTGCATGAATTTTTTGTGAAAATCCAATTATGAGGCTTAAATTAGTTTATCTCAACGAAACTTCTTTTTTCACTTTTGAATATGGCGCCAAAATGGTCTGGCCTCGGAAAAAGTTGGCAGCACCACCTAGGGAGATTTAACTTTAGGGGGTGATACTATTTTAAAGTATATCCTGTCTTATGCCAAAGGGATTTTCCTTAGAAATAGATTAGTAATATTAAATACTTAATGAAAAATATTTTAAAATCACTCAAGTTTGGATTATTTTGGCTATAAAACCGTGGCTTTTAGACAATTTGGTCAAAAAGGTCCAGTGTGACCAGCCAACTTAGTAGAAAAATACCACACTTCGATTTTGGTATGTTCACTTCCCACTGACTGGCCACACCATCATTTTCTGTTGATTTTCAGCAACCGTCGGTTGGCTCGCGCTTGATTTTCTTTGGAATATTTTCCTCGGGGCGCGTTTCATGACTGAAAAACTATATATTTATAGTTTAAAGCTATTTAAAACCAAGTTTATTAACAAATAACCCTTCGTTTAATACACAAAATCGATACAAATGTGATTTAAACAACGAGCTCCACAGGATCCTAACGCCGTCGGCGCGAATAGAGTGAGACACCACTACAGCTCCGATTGTGTGTGCAATTTGTTGATAGTGTTGTAGTTGTTGTAAAAAATGCTCCGCTTGCAAGCGTACAACAGCTACAAAAAAACCTAAAAAAAAACAACAAAAATAAATGTGAATTGCCGGCAAAACAAGTGTAACGTAAATTCGATTGATTCAAAAAAAAACAAGGAGCCAGAGGAAAGGAAGTATGCACAAATCGACAAAGAATACACAACAAAAGTGGAGTGGGCAGCACTAGTCGCGCGCGCCAGTGTGTGTGTGAGTGTGTATATGTGTGAGCGAGGCAAGGAATAAGAGTGGAAAAGTAAGCGCCGATTGGAGCCAAAACGGAAAAAAATCGAAAAAAAAACAAAAACAAAAACAAAAATGCGAGCGGCAGAGTCGTAAACAAAAACTCATTTTATAATCAAATTACCTCGACGGTTTCGTAAACGACGGTTTCCAGCTTAAAATCAGCACAAAAATCGGCAAGAAAAACAAACATGACCAACCGCCAGGAGGGAAATAGTAAAGTCATAAGGATATGGAGCTGGCTAATCGGCAGTCTGCTGATAATGCAGATGATTGCAGGAAGTTCGGGCAGTCAAGGTATGAGAAATAAACTATATTTCTTAAGTCAATAATTTGCAATAAAATCATTTCCTGTAATATAAGTTTTGCGGCTAAAAAATATTTGCTAGTTAGGAGTTACGGCGACTGAAAGTCTGGTCGACGTGCCAAATACCAGGTAAAGAGGCCCCAACACTCATAATTCGATTGGTTGTATCAACACCCCGACTGATAAGAAGAGTCATATTTTTTCGCACTTTGCCAGCAAAACCCCTCCGCCAGGTGAGAGGCCCATGCGGCGGCCATCATGCGGTGCCATCGCATCACCTGCTAGCCGATAAGCGCCGAACCCAAGAAGGTTGTGGAACCTCGATAGTGCCACGAAATTCGAACATTACTAATGAGGTTCCCTCGAAATGAGATAAACCCAGCACCAGCACTGCACAACAAGGAGTTGCAAACTCGTTGAACCCACAAATGTTTACACTCCGCAATGAGACAAAATAAATAGACACTCTGAGGTTTCAGTTTCCTGTGAAAAATATTGGAAAAAGGATCTGTATGCCCTAGAAGTCATTATCATTAGCTGGGAGTTCTGAGGCCTAAGCGGCAGGTAGTGGCAGGTAACTATAGTGGCGATGAAATACAATTAGGATTTGGGATTTAGGATTCTGGGCAGATGCAGGTCAGAAGATCAGAAAATGGAGGGCAGCTGCAAATGCCCCAAATGATTGATTGGGATTAGGATAAGCTGGGGTTGGTATTTAGGGCTTATCGAGTTTCGGTTTTCAATTTTTGGTCCATTTTCGAATCAGAAAAGAAAACCTAGTCAGGGAAAACCTGAAAATCCCCGAAAAATGTGCCAATAATGCAAACAAATTAAATGTCCTGCCACCCTGGAGGGCTTTTACAAATCCACCCCTAAGCCTAGAAATAGAACCCTGCCTTATCAGCCAAGGAATTTATCAGCCATGCCCCCCCTTTTCTGGAAAAGCCCCCCAAAATATAAAAGTTTGACTGTAAAATATGGTGGGCATGTCATATGCAAATGGAATGAAAAATCTTGAACCGAATTCTGGGTCATGGCATGTCAGAAGTCACAGGGCCAGATTTAATTAAAAGCATTCCCTGACATAACCACCAAGAGTTGGTAATTAAAAATGCTATGCTTGCATGGGTGTAGCCACAAGGACAATGCCGGAAAAAGGACAATAATAGATCGAGGAAGGGTACCGACCAAAGAGGTTACCACTAATAATATTTTATTTAAGCTTTAGATGGTAAGTTATGGGTAGAATTAGTAGAAAGCTTTATATCTTAGGTCTTAGGTCTTACTATCATTATTTATTGAAGTGATTTAGTCCTTAGTTAATATACCCCTCTAATAACTACTGGGTATCTGGAAACTCACGTGCTGTGAGCTCCTGTTCTAATTTTTGTTTTCACTTTTCCACTCATATTTCTTTGCGTTTTGTGGCTTTTGGCTTTTGGGAGAACTGGCAATGTCCTGGTGCCTGGCAATTGTTTCTGGCGTGTCCTGGGCGAGTCCTTTCCGTTCCCGTTCCTTACTTTCATTCTTCAGTAGCATATTAAGCCGCATTACGTGATACAATATATGAGTGACATGTTATTCTAATTTCGCACCCCTGCAAGGGTGCGCTTGTCAAAATAAACATTTCCATATGGCCGCCATGGAGAGCCCCTGGGCGATGTGTCGCAATGTGACAAAGACATGGAGAGACTGGGGGAGAAATGGAGAAAGGGCGGAGAGAGTGGTACTTCGAATGAGGTCACTTCTTGGCCGCTGAATGCCGACTAATTACCAACCGATGCCAGGGCCTTTTCTCCGACGAGATACTTTGAAGTGTTGACAAAGCAGCGGAAATTGTGAGCCTTTCCCAGGGGTTTCCCAGGGGACTACACATCTCATATATGACTACAAGATGCTACAAGGACACCAAGGTGATGTCTCACTCTTGGGGCACTTATCGATGATGCGTGTTGCACTTTATTGTGTTCTTTACAATCCCAACTTTCCACCAATAAACTTTTAAGTGAATCGTGCTTAAACAAAAGTTTATCTTGTTATTTAATTTAAGGAGGAAAAAAATGCATTTTAATTTAAAACTCGCAGAGACAACTGCAATCCAGAGCTTGTGCATATATTTGGAGAGACTCATGTTGCGAGAATTTTTATGGAAAACAGCAGGAACACAATTCGACACCCAAAATACGAAAAATTCAGCTTACTCGGCAGTAGGAAGGCACTGAGAAAAATAGGGATTTAAATCATAAATATATAGAGAGAATAATAGGTCTTTGGAAATATATATCTTTTAATTAAAGACATATTTTTTAAGAGAAAACTTAAACTTTTTTATAAATTAATCTTGAAAGGAGCTTCAAGTGTAATCCGAAACCCAGTGCGTTGGCAAAATGCAATTTCGAACCCAAAAACCCTGGCAGTTCCCTTCCCACCGATACCGCCACCACCATTCGACATGACAACATGAATAATTCACTTGAACCCGCCACAAGCACAACAAAAACAACAACAACCACATCGGGTTACCCCAAAACTGAAGCTGCAACCCAAAAAAAAAATGGCCAAGAGTTCAATGAACGCATCTCCAGGAGAAGAAGGGAGCGATCCAATAAGGAGACTGATCTTGAGGCTATACAGGAAATCAACAAAAGTTACTGGTTTTGTTCTTCTGTGGAGGCGTATTATTCCCTAGGGACTAGGGACTTGGAACTTGGTCCAACTTGCATAGGCCAGATGCGTGGGCAGAGATGGCACTTCATCCAAGGACATGGAGAGAGCTGTTCAGGCTCGGTATCTCTCTCGGTACTTGAGCTTGTTCTTTGGCCATTTGGCTAAGTGGCTTAAAGTGCCGTTAAAACAAGCCTGGGCCACAAATCTCACACCTCCTTCCATTTCTCCATACCGGGCCTATAAAATATCAGAAATTATCGGCCTCCACGCCTCGAATCTTGGCACTTAATCACCTCCAGCTCTCGACTCCAGCTCGACTCCGAAACGGAAGTCGGCAACTGATTTTTTTTTAAATGCAGTCATTTAGCCAAAGTGCTAGTCTAGGCCTGGCCCGAACGAAGATCACCTCCAAAGACCACGCCCTGCTAAAAGAACTCAATCTTAACAGATGATTTTCAAGCCATACACTGCGAGAAAAATACTAGTAATGGAATACTTTAGGAGAGATCTTAACCTTTAGAGATCTTTAGAGATTTCTTTCAGTGGAATAATTATTTTGTGGCCAGCAGAGCGAGCTGAAAAGTAAACAAAGTTTCTGCATTGTTTTTCAGCTTTTAACATCCTTCTCGGCCTGTTCTCTTGATGCTTTTTTTTAGCTTTTATTTTTTACTTCAAAGTCTTGTTTTTTTTTTGCATTTTCCGGTTTCAGGTTTCGCATGCCCATGGGCTACATTAATAGAAAGAGTCGCTGGCTTTGGAGTTGGTCTTGGTGGTGGATTATATAGCCCCGCTTATCGGTCAACAAAGTCCATATTCTAACCTACTATACTATACTACATATATGAAATTCCATTAAAAATCAACCACATCTCTGACTGAAAAACTAGAACATGAAAAACGAGCCTCAACAATGGCGACCAGACATCGTCTAGAGGGAGGAGGTATGGAGCTCCCAGCCAAAAGTAATTTGTTACAAAAGCCACAAGACCATGGAGACCCAGGCCGTCGCCAGTTTCATTTTGTTCCGATCCAGTGGTATCTCATTGGTATCCGAGTGAATCGATCGGATCGGATCGGATCGGATCAGCTAGCGCCAAGACTCTTGACTCCAGTCAGCAGCCAGCAGTCAGCAGCCAGCCGTTGCTATTATTTTATTATTATCTACAAAATGCACGTACTTTATACCACTTACTGCCGTCTGTAGACTACAGTCTGCAGCCCCAGTAGTCGACGGTGGAAGTCGTGGTTAGTTGGTTGGGTGGTGGGGGAGACCCGACTAGCCACAGTGGTTTGGGTATTGTTTGTTTTATGAGTTTTAATATTTGGACTTGGGTTAGTAATTGTTTGGTTTGTGAGATCAGCATTTCACAGTTGACTTAAAGACTGAGGACAGTCTCTTTTTTAGCTTTTTGGGGAACAGGAACCACTGTTCCAAGACAAGCCTGCCTTTTCGCCAGCTGTGTGTGATCTTATCTCAAACGTTGTCCGCGTTCGCGCAACTTAAGTAGGTACTAAGTGCTGCATATATCATAGCTAAAGCCCAAGCTAAAGCCCGTGCCTATGCCCATGCCCATGCCCATTCCCATTCCCATTCCCAGTTCCCTTCCCGATCTTGACTTTGTTGAAACCGGACTTTGTTGTTCTTTGAACCGCTGCCGGATTAGATGACGTGCCACATCCATGTGTGGAGTTGCCTGATTAATGGCAATTATCCGCCGCACATTTTCACATTCAACCGCTGCCGGGTGGCGTCTCTTTCGAATTGAGCCGTCACTGGAGAGGAGTGGAGTTGGTGGAGTCATAAAATCCCCTGAAATGCAATCAGCCAGCGAATATCTCAGCGTTTGGCCATTAGGTTTGCAAGTTTATGAAGCGTGCGGTTCTCAAAACTCAAAACTCTGGTGGCAGTAGCTATCTGAGACTTTCTGAGGCTTTCAAGATTTAGTTGCAAAGTGGCAAGCACTTGACTTGAGGAAGTCAGACCCAGGAGTGCCGGGAATAGTGGTTTTCAGGTCTAGTTTCGTTGGAAATATCCTTTTGTTGGCATTGTCTGCGATGCTGCACCTCTTTGTTCTGCTGCCACAGACAATGGCAGATGCAAATATGCAAATGCTGTAATGAGGTGGTAAGATACAAGTTGTCTCTCTCCCCCATCGAGTGCCCGTTGCACGTATCTGCCTCCTGGCAATGACACAAATTGCTTTTGTCTGCTCACAATTTGCATTTGCTGGAGAGATCCGAGTTCTGGAGAGGATGGGCAGAGGAGAGGAGGAGCCACCTACTACTACTCCTCCTAATTGAATGTCGAGCATAAAATTATGTC